TCAGTTCTTCCGAAAGAACCGGGTTTTAGTTTGGTGTCATGCCTGCTTCTTCTCTTAGTCACTCATCATTACGTAGCTGAGCTTCTTCGAATCAGTAAAATAAAGGTTTGTTTGCTTAGCCGTGAAGTGGGAACTTTGTATTTAGTGAATCCTTTCTTTGGTATTGAAACTTTCACTAAAGTTCTCAGCTTTGTTCGTTACGTCTGAGATTATGCTAAAAGAGTATGTTCTCTCTGCTCATGTGTTAAAATTAGAGCTTTAGATTGCTTCGGCTTTGGTGTTCATAGTAGAATCATGGGTGATGTCTTCTGGTTGAGTCCTGTCTCCATCACTTGTACATCGAATCAATTGGACTATAGATGTTGTTCAGTCAAGAAGAGCAGTTGTATCTGGAGAAGAAGTTGTCATTGGTCTTTGAAGCCAAACCGTGTAAAAACAAAGTCTTTTTCATTAGGAACAACGAGACTATGTTTAAGGAAGGTGAGTAGTGAGTTAGACAGATCTTCCAACGGTGATACTATGGCCTTGGAATGTGGATTGAAAGAAAAGAGCTTTCTTGCACATAAACAAGAAAGTCTTTACGGTGTCTTTGTGGAAACTGAGTTAGAAGAGAAGCCTGAAGCAGATAGTAGGAGTAGGATACATTTCTTAGAGGAGAGAGACGAGGAGATGTTATCAAAGAGACTTCTGAAACTCAGCAGGTTAGATAAACTCAGAAGCGCATCCGAGCTGTTTGATTCCATGAGACTTTCAGGTTTACAACCCAACCCTCACGCCTGCAACTCTTTCCTCTCATGCCTCCTGAGGACTGGGAATCTTCAGAAAATCTTTACCGTCTTTGACTTCATGAGGAAAAAGAACAACCTCACAGGCCACACTTATAGCTTGCTGTTGAAAGCTGTCTCAGAGCTAAAGGGATGTGACTCTGCGTTAAGAATGTTTAGAGAGTTAGAAAAAGATCCAAAACACAAGAGTCACTTCGATGTTGTTGTATATAACACCGTGGTTTCTCTATGTGGACGTGTGAACAACGTGTACGAGACAGAGAGAGTATGGAGAGTTATGCAAAGTGAGGGTCTAATTGGAACAGAGGTTACGTACTCTCTTCTTGTTAGCATCTTTGTTCGGTGTGGGAGAAGCGAGTTGGCTCTTGATGCATACGATGAGATGATTCACAACAACATATCTCCTAGAGAGGATGCAATGCACGCGATGATAAGCGCGTGTACTAAGGAAGAAAGATGGAGGTTAGCGTTGAAGATCTTTGAGAGTATGTTAAAGAGAGGGATGAAGCCTAATCTTGTAGCCTGCAACACGTTGATAAACTCGTTGGGAAAGGCTGGGAAAGTTGGATTGGTGTTTAAGGTTTACAGTGTTGCTGCAAAGTCTTTAGGACATAAACCTGATGAGTACACATGGAATGCGTTACTCACGGGTTTATACAAAGCAAACCGGTACGAAGATGTTCTTCAGCTGTTTGATATGGTAAGAAGTGAAAGCCTATGTTGTTTAAATGAATATCTATACAACACAGCTTTGATGTCTTGCCAGAAGCTTGGCTCTTGGGAGAAAGCTGTGAAGCTTTTGTATGAGATGGAAGTTTCTTCGGGAGTTACAGTTTCAACTTCTTCATATAATCTGGTTATAAGCGCTTGTGAGAAGTCAAGGCAGTCTAAAGTAGCGTTGCAAGTGTATGACCACATGGTTCAAAGGGGTTGTGATGCAGACACGTTTACGTATCTGTCTCTTATAAGGAGTTGCATTTGGGGTTCACTGTGGGGAGAGGTTAAAGATATCTTGAAGGTTAGTATAAGTTTTGTTACTTAAATGTGCATTTTTTTTAAAGAAGATGTTTGATTTAATGTTTGTTTATTTGTTACAGAAGGTGGAACCTGATGTGTCACTTTACAACGCAGCTATACATGGAATGTGTTTGAGACGTGAGTTTAAGTTAGCTAAAGAGATCTATGTGGAGATGAGAGAGATGGGTTTGGAACCGGATGGTAAAACTCGAGCTATGATGCTACAGAACTTGAAGAGACATTAAAAAAGGTTAATGTTTTTTGGTGTGTACTCATATAAGCCAAGACAAAGATACTTTGTTATTAATTTCGTTGAAAGCAAGTTACACATCTCCCAAAAACCCTAACCTTTACATCGTGAATGATCAAAACTCATTAATTACAAAGCTTGTGAGATTCTTTTAACTCAACTTGTCCTTTTCTCTTCTCTCATCTGCAATTCATTCACATGGTGTCTGAATCCTGAAGTTACAGTAATACCCTCCTCCCTCGATGTGCAAAAGTTATCAAGCTCGTAAAACAGAGAGCCTCGTGTTCCTCGTACCCAATCCTCCATCCCTCTCTTTCTCTCTCTGCTACAGGCCCACTGACTCTGATAAAAGCAAAAGACACCTCACTTTCCCGCCAAAAAAAAAACAAACATAACATGCTTCTTACAACTCACCTCTCTTCTATGTTCTGCACACTCAACCCCACTAAAGAGAGAGAGAAGATGAATAGCTCGTCGAAGGTGATAATGGCAGCGACTATGGTAATGGTAGTGAGCTTAGTAATGGTTCTAAGCTTAGTATTAGTACTATTAGCCGAACTCTACTGCTCTCTCTTACTCCGCCGCCGCCGTCGCACAAATCCCTCCCTCACTCTCCCAACCACCACAATAACCCCCACTGCAACCACCACCACCACAAGCCTAGCTCAAGCCATTTCAACAACAACCAACGAACCTTCACCATCATCAAACATCAATCCTCTAACCACAGGCGTCCTTCAAACTCCAAAACCTTTTCTCATAACCAACAAAACATATCTTCACAATGAGTCACCATCCTTACAATCTTCCCCTGTAACAGTTGAAAATGATAACTTCATTTACATATCGAACCCAATGTACACGAACGACGCTACAACGAGTAAACCAACCACGCCTTTCGAGACACCTGAGTCTTCACCGTCTAGGCTAGAGACTGGTGACGACTCATCTTCCGAAGAAGATGAGAATAATGTAACGCCGGCGTTGACACCAATGAAGGATCTTCCTGAAAAGGCATGTTCTGTTTCGTTACAAGACAATGCTAGGTCCTTGGAGAGTTCTGCTAGTGAGTCAAACAAGGACGAGGATAAAGACGGTGGTGGCTTGTCTACGTCGTCTGGTTCGCCGTCGTATACTTCTCCGTCGTGGTAGTGTGTGTTTATTATTAGTTATTAATTAATGATGTTTTTGTTTCTTGTCTTGGAATGTGTATGAGACAACATTTATGGCTCGATGATCCAAGCCCACGCTTGTTTTTTACCGGAGTTTCCTTCTTATGTCGTTTTCTGTGTTCTGTAAGACAAAAAAAGAAACAGAGTCTTTTTTTAATCATATAACTCGAAAGCAAGATAAAGCTGTAAACTTTATCTTATTTTAAGCTTTTATTCTATATCTTATTTTAAGCTTTTATTCTATGGTGACAATTTTGGTCTAACAATGTGTGGTGTTGTTGACCAAAGAAAAAAAAAACAATGTGTGGAGTTGTATTTAGATTTTGAGTAATGGAAAGTTGTTTGTTGAACCCAATAAAAACAAAGAGAAAGGTAAAATTGAATTGAGTGATTTACCAATTCCTTTTTATAATACATTGCACATAACCTTCATATTACTCTGATGGCTGTTAGTGATTCTCTCTAGTTTGATGACAAGCTAAAAAAATGGCTTGTGAAACATTCTCTAGTTTAGTGGTTTGATTGAAGATTTATTTTCATCAAAAAAAAATATAAGTTTTGAGTGGTAAAACATCGTAGATTAATACCTCTTATTTAGAAAAAAAAAACAAGTAAAACCTTCAAATAAAAATTCATCTTAACTTGACACACAAAAATCAAAAGGATTTCTTTTAAGAAATCAAAGTGGACATATGATTCGCATCCGGTTTGGTTCGACACCGGTCAACAAGGTGGAATGCGTGCCGGGCGTGAGTTGTCAACCTCTTTGTCTTATTTTTTTGAATTGTTTTTTGTTAAAGTATGTCACTTTTAGCTCACCGGATGTTTGATTTAGTATCATTTGCCTTTATCAGGGTAGGATTGATCCAATGATACGAAGTAGTAAGAGATTATTTAGCAGAGACTTGGTGAGGTTTTTGCAGTACATTGATTATTGTGCTGTTAGGAGGTATGACTTTGTTAGTAAATCTGCAAAAAAGATGTGTCCTTTGTTGGTAGCCACAGCAAATTTAAGGGATGTGTAGTTAAAGAGAGAACAATCGAGGAACCAAATGGGGAAAGTCTTTGTTACTTGTGGTGAGGGAGATCCAGATTCAAAAAGGGCTTAATGTTCTCTCCTCCTCCACTGCCTCTAAAAATGTAACCTTGACCAGTGGGTCATGAAAGAATCAAATGAGCTCCTTGGCTGTGACTACTCTAATTCCTAAAACTGCAATTGCAGTCTGTTCCCTGAACCCAATAATGTAACATAGAAACACATAACATTAACCAGATGGTTAAGATTAGGTTTCATTTTCTCTGTGAAGGAGCTGTGAGAGTTTTTTTTGTGTGTGTGTGTGTTTCACTTTCATCGATAGGTCTTATTCTCTGGGTGATGGTTTACTCAGTTGGCTGTGGAGATCACTTTCATTAGGTAAAGACGTAAAGAATAACTGGAGTGTAATCTTGTTTTCTTGAACTCAATAAGAAGGTTCTGTTTGTTGCATTATACCTACAATGTGTATAACATATGATTATTGTTCTTATAAACACAGATGGATTTAAATCCATACACCATAAAATTGTATAAGCTCTATCAAAAATATCAGTTGGGCTGATTTGGCTCTGTTAACAAAACAAACATGGCGATGTCAAAAAACAAAACAAACAAACATGGCTTAAGTAAAGTCAACAATATAGAGTTATGCACAAAATTCTATAAATCATCACTAAATTAACGGTGCACATTGCTTCTCAACTATTTCAGATTTTTATTCTTGTCCCTTTCTCCCACAAATATCTCAAGCAGAAACGCACTTAAAAAAAACGTGAGCTGTCACGGGTAAGTACACTCCCAACATCCAATTAAACAGTCACACGTGGAGATTTCTCCCACGTGTCGTGGTCAATCTCAGATCACTTATAACTGATCACTGTCTGATAAGATTTGAGCTACTTTCAGTGTTCTTTACTCTTTCACCAATCCAGAGAAAGAAAGATGGACACGATGCGACTCTCCGGCGTCTCGAACAGAACCGAGAGTTTGCTTCAACACAATGCCTTGTCAAGCTTTATTGCTCGTCGATGCGACGATGGAAGATGGAGAAGAACGAGGATGTTTCCTGCTAGTAGGAGCAGAACCTGGCAACTCTCACCGAAGAAAACACTCTTTCCCTCAGTGAAATCTATCTCTAGCGAGCCTAAGGAGAAGCTCGCTGACGTGGCTATCGATTCCGAACAAGGTCCAAGTTCATTTCTTTTTTTAGTTTCTCATTCAAAAAGTTACTATATGGTTAGAGTTAGAAGAATAAAGTATGTAACTTTAGTGTTTTATAGTGAACGTTGGAATTAAATTTTGTATTTTTATAAGTTTCTAGTGACTGGTGGAATTAAAGTATGTAACTTTAAGAGTTTCTAGTGACTGTTGGAATTTAAAGTTTGTAACTTCAAGAGTTTATAGTGAATGTTGTTGTTGTGTATGTGAAGTTAATCATTTCATGTGTTTGCTGCAGAAGGCTTTAGCTCGTTGAGTCCGTTTGGTCCAGATGCTGCTTCCTTGGCATCGAGCATTAAGTACCATTCGGAGTTTACGCCTCTGTTTTCTCCGGAGAAGTTTGAGTTGCCTAAGGCTTTCTTTGCTACTGCACAAAGTGTTAGGGACGCTCTGATCATTAACTGGAACGCTACTTATGAGTATTACAACAGGGTGAATCCCAAACAGGCTTACTATTTGTCTATGGAGTTTCTGCAGGTTTTTAGCTTTGACTTATCTTCCTAGCAATCTTTGTATTTGGTTTGTTTGTTATCTGAACATCTTTTTCTCTTATTGTAGGGTAGAGCTCTATCGAATGCAGTGGGTAACCTTGGGCTTACTGGCGCTTATGCTGATGCGTTGAAGAGTCTAGGCTTTGATTTGGAAAGCGTTGCTGGTCAGGTGAGTTGTTAACAATGTTTGAGTTGTCTATGCGATTCTGTTGCTTGCTATCACATGGACTTTATCTTTCTTTATATGAGCTGAGATGCTAAACTCTCCACTTGCAATCTGTAGGAGCCAGATCCTGCACTTGGGAATGGTGGACTTGGGAGACTTGCTTCTTGCTTTTTGGATTCAATGGCAACTTTAAATTATCCGGCATGGGGTTATGGACTTAGATATAAGTACGGCTTGTTCAAACAAAGAATCACAAAAGATGGACAGGAGGAAGCTGCAGAAGATTGGCTTGAGGTCTTCTTCTCTTATTCTTTCTCCCACACAGCATTTTGCTATTGAATAGTATATCCCATTTGACTTACGTGTTTCTTTCAGCTAAGCAATCCTTGGGAAATAGTCAGAAATGATGTCTCATATCCTATAAAGTTCTATGGAAAAGTGGTTTTTGGATCAGATGGTAAGAAACAATGGATTGGTGGAGAAGACATTGTGGCTGTTGCTTATGATGTTCCAATACCTGGCTATAAAACTAAGACTACTATCAATCTACGACTCTGGTCAACAAAAGCCCCTTCAGCAGATTTTGATTTGTCTTCATATAACTCTGGGAAGCATACTGAGGCAGCAGAAGCTCTATTTAACGCTGAAAAGGTATTCTACTCTTCTCTTAGCCTGCAAACATCAACGCTAAAAATTTTCTTCATTTCCTTCGTAATGGAATTAGATTTGCTACGTGCTTTATCCCGGAGACGAGTCAAATGAAGGAAAGGCTCTTCGTCTGAAGCAACAATACACTCTGTGCTCAGCCTCACTCCAAGATATCGTAGCACGCTTTGAGACAAGGTCTGGAGGAAGCGTCAACTGGGAAGAATTTCCAGAGAAAGTTGCAGTGCAGATGAATGACACTCACCCTACCTTATGCATTCCTGAGCTGATGAGGATTCTAATGGATTTGAAAGGGCTAAGCTGGGAGGACGCTTGGAAAATCACACAGAGGTACTTCTCTTGTTGTTATTTGTTTTTCTTGTCCCAGTATAAAGATAATTTACAGGTTTAAACCAGCAATGTGTTTCTGAATAGTTAATAATGTTTTTAGGACTGTGGCATACACAAACCATACAGTCTTGCCTGAGGCACTGGAGAAGTGGAGTTTAGACCTTATGGGGAAATTGCTACCTCGTCATGTGGAGATTATAGAAATGATTGATGAGGAGGTCATCCTCGAACAACATTAAAATGTCTCTTCTATTTGAATTTTTTGCCCATATCTGGACTAATTTTCATTTTCATGTATTGCAGCTAGTTAGCACAATTGTTTCTGAGTATGGCACCGCGGATCCTGATTTGCTCAAAGGGAAACTGAACGCAATGAGGATTTTAGAAAACGTCGAGTTGCCTTCTGCTTTTGCAGATGTGATTGTGAAGCCAAAGAACACCAAAGATTCTAAAGAAGATGCTCAAACTGTGCTGAAAAAGGAACAAGAAGAGGAAGAAACTACTGGCGAGGAAGCGGTAGTTATTCCAGAACCGAAGGTTAAACCACCAAAGATGGTCCGTATGGCCAACCTCGCTGTTGTGGGTGGTCATGCTGTAAATGGGGTTGCAGAGATACACAGTGAAATAGTTAAAAAGGATGTGTTTAATGAATTCGTTAAGGTAAAACCTTTCTAACCAGCGAGCCTAATGCTTTATAATGTGCTACATGGAAGAACACAAGCCTCATTGCTGAACATTCTATAATTGTTGCAGTTGTGGCCAGACAAATTCCAGAATAAAACCAATGGAGTAACACCAAGACGATGGATTAGTTTTTGCAACCCGTACCTAAGTGATATTATAACTAACTGGATAGGCACAGAAGACTGGGTCTTAAATACTGAAAAGCTTGCGGAACTAAGAAAGGTAAGTGCGTTGTCAGATTCAAAGTTGTTTCACATGCTGTTATATTTATAGTAAGACACGGTCACACGGGTTACCTTTGTGCGGTCTTTATTCAGTTTGCAGATGATGAAGATCTTCAATCCGAGTGGAGGGCAGCAAAGAAGAAGAACAAGTTAAAGGTTGTATCACTAATCAAGGAAAGAACCGGATATACTGTCAACCCGGATGCAATGTTTGACATTCAGGTCAGTTTTAGAGCTTCGTGTTTACTTTTAGATTTATGAGTTCTTTGTTATGGTTTGAGAAAACTATTTCACATCCACCCAATGAATCCTTTAAAACGCAAACTTAGGAGCTCTCTTAACATCTCATCGAACATTATTATATTTTGCATGGAAAACTATTGCAGATCAAACGTATACACGAGTACAAGCGACAACTGCTTAATATCTTGGGAATTGTTTACCGCTACAAAAAGATGAAGGAAATGAGTGCAAGTGAGAGGGAGAAGGCATTTATTCCAAGAGTTTGCATATTTGGGGGAAAAGCATTTGCCACATATGTACAAGCTAAGAGGATTGTGAAATTCATCACAGATGTTGGGTCTACTATTAACCATGATCCAGAGATAGGTGACCTGCTCAAGGTAAGTGATCTGTTATTATATGTACTTTCACGTGCTATTTTAATCATATTCTGGACAGACAACCTGCAAAATCCTCCACCAAGTCTGCAAATTGGCACCTATATATAAATAACCGCTAATCAGAGGTGTAAACTACCATGCAGGTTATCTTTGTCCCTGATTACAATGTCAGTGTTGCTGAGTTGCTCATTCCAGCAAGTGAGCTCTCTCAGCACATCAGGTACAAATTTCTTTGTCTACGTCATTTTCTGGTTTTTTGGTCACAACTCCATCAGGCTGAAACACTGAAACTGAGAAAATTGGTAAACTAGATACTGGACTATCTTATATGTTTATCATGAGAACCTTAACAGCAAATCCTGACATGGAGAACAATTAGGATAAGTTATAATCAATCAATAGCACTCTGCCATTTTCTGAAGACTAAGAGTTGTCTTGTCTCTGCAGTACCGCTGGGATGGAAGCCAGTGGGACAAGCAACATGAAGTTTTCTATGAACGGTTGCATTTTGATTGGAACCTTGGATGGGGCTAATGTCGAGATTAGAGAAGAAGTTGGCGAAGAAAACTTCTTCCTCTTCGGTGCCAAAGCTGATGAGATTGTGAACCTCAGGAAAGAGAGAGCAGAGGGAAAGGTAATATGATTAAAAAGAGTAAATATTTCAATGCTTCCTTCTTCTTCTCAGTGTCAAACAAAGCTTCATTTTGACCTGTTTCATCTTCTCATTCCAGTTTGTTCCGGATCCTACTTTTGAAGAAGTCAAGCAGTTCGTTAGAAGCGGTGTCTTTGGCTCAAACTATGATGAACTAATAGGTTCTTTGGAAGGTAATGAAGGGTTTGGACGAGCTGATTACTTCCTCGTTGGCAAAGACTTTCCTAGTTACGTTGAATGCCAAGAAAAGGTTGACGAGGCATACCGAGACCAGAAGGTAAGTAGTGATGCTTTTACTTCAATCATCAAAGCTTATATGTTGACTCATTATGAAACTTTCTATTTAATGATTTACAGAGATGGACGAGGATGTCAATCTTGAACACGGCAGGTTCATTCAAGTTTAGCAGTGACCGGACCATCCACGAATATGCCAAAGACATATGGAATATTAAGCAAGTTGAACTTCCATGAGCCTTTGGCCAGTCTACCTTGAGAACTTTTTTGTATATCTATTCTACTACTCACCAAGTTTCCAATTAATCCAAGTAAAATAAGGAAAATCATTTGTAATGATATGCGATACAATGAATGTATGAAATAAGATTCAATTCAAACAATCAAGCTGGCTACTGTCTTCTTCTATATCATCTTTGTAACAGTAGCACACAGTAGAAAATGTCACCTATACATCTGCACACACCTTTAAAAAAGAGAAACAAAAAGTCTTGAGAATGTTTCAATCCCTTTCTGTTCAACTAGTCTGAAGATTCTGTGTAAGTAAACTTCAAAAGCTTTGTCCAGACTTGGAAACACTATAGACAAATCCAGCACCTAATGTTCCTTCCTTCTCATTAGTATCTCTATGTTCAATCTTCTTAGCTTCTGATGAGTAGTCATATGGTGAATTACAACATCTTCAAAACCCCATCATAGCTGGAGTTAACTCTGTAATCTTTTCTGCGTATTACATCTCAGAGGAGAAGGTAATGCTTGAGCAAGAACATCACCGCAAGTACTAAACTGTTGGAAATCTTGTTTCAACTCAACACTATGTTCCTTCACATTAGTATCTCTAAGTTCAATCAACTCCTCCTTTGATACCTCATAGCTTGATGGTTGTGAAACAATCTTCTTAGCTTCCGATGAGCCAGACGGTGAACTACCATCTTCAAATCTCTTCCTTTTACGCCCCATTACCACATTAATGGGTCTGTGAAGCGTTTGGTGGCCACCTAGAGCTTGAAAACACCCAAAAATCTTGCCACATACTTTGCATTTATAGCTGGATTTACTTTTAGGTTTCTCCTGCAACTTACTTCCCAAAGGAATAAGCAACGCTTCTTGAGCAACAACATCACTGTAACAACTAGACTTTTCGAAACTTGAGTGAGAAGACACTTTACTAAAACCTTGCCTCGCTTCAACAGAATGTTCCTTCACATTAGTATCTCCACGTTCAATCAACTCCTCTTGAGAGACTCCAATACATGATGGTTGTGGAACAATCTTCTTAGCTCCTGAATCAGTCAACACAGACAGTAAATGACCATCTTGCCCTCTATCTGATCTATGAAGCGCTTGGTGACTACCTAGAGAACGCTCAAAACTCTTGCCGCAAATCTTGAATCTATAGCTGAAGTTACTCTCTCGTTTTATCTGCGACTTACTTCTCAGAGGGGGAGACAATGCTTGAGCAACAACATCACTACAAGTAGCAGACACTTCACTAAACTCTTTTCTCCACTGATCAACACCCTGAGGCAAGTTTCTGTTCTCAGAAACTCCTTCAGAAAACATAACCAAGCTCACCGCAGCTTCATCCATCTCTTGTTTCTCAATCTCACTCATAAAAGAAGAAGAAGACTCCTTGAGAGACAATGAACAAGTGGCTTTACATCCTCTCTGTAAAGGACCAGTACAAACCCTAGGAGGCTTCTTGAGACCACCCCGAACCCGTTTCAGCTTCGAATGAGCCCTCTGGTGACCACACACAGCTTGTACAGTTGCATACCCTTTTCCGCAGATTTTGCAAACATGAAGGCTCTGAGACATTTCGGCTTCCTCAGACACTACAAAGCTTAGGTCTTTTTAGGGTTTCGCTACCGAAAAGACATAAAGGATGAAACTTTCTCTACTTCTAAACCTGTTTCATCACAAGTAATTGAACACTAATCAAACCCACGAAAAATTAACTCTTGACATTATCGGAAAAATCGAGAAAAGGTTTTGCTTTTCCGTTCACTTTTCTGGAGAAAATGGAAGAACCAGAGAGAAAAAAAGTTGACTTGATCAAGCTTACCTGAGAAAAATCGTCTCTTGATTACTGAATCTCTAAGGTTAGAACTCTAAAGAACAGAATTTGCTTTTTCGCAGAGCTTGGATCAGTCTCGCTCTCGATCAAGCTTACTCAGAGAGACTGGAGGAGAAAGTTACTTGTTGTGGAAGGTAAGGTAACAAGGCTTTTTCAGAGGATAATTATCTCCGAACCGGTTTAAAAACAAACCCGAAGTAAACCAGATATCGTACACACAATGAATTAAGGGTTTTCATTTCGGATTTCGGTTTGGTTTCGGTTCCAGTTCGATTTTGGTTCGATTTTCTCCATTTTTTGGTTTATAAAGAATAACTATCATATTAAAATTATATTTATTTTGGTTTGGTCGGTTTATATACTGTCAGTTTTCGGTTTATTCGTAAAACATAAATATATTTATATTGTATGACAATTTATAAATTTACTTTACATGATTAGATACTAGCTTTACTAAAACATAAAGATACGCTAGTTTGAAAATATAATATGTTTTCTATTTTATTATACTATTTAAAATAATTAATAAACATATTAATTTAATAATAAGAATATAAACTAAAAATAATAAAATAGTAATATGATAAAATTATTAAATAACTAACAATTAGCACACATATTCAAAGTTATGTTTTATTTAATTTGATAAAATGAAAAAAAACTTTAACTTAAATCAAACTAATAAATTATTATATTCAGCATTTTAAATATAAAGATCATATTAATAAGGATGTCATGAACTTCAATTCCTGGGGAAGAGGCTATAAGGCTATCTGGGGAATAAGATTGGTTGGCTACTAATAATTATCTTTCTTTCCCACCTCAACAGAATAAGTCGAAACCAAAGAAAAGGCATACCAAGATTGGATTACATAAAAGGATAGGAAATGTTGTTCCGGGCGAAGGTAGCCGGCTAATTAGAGTAAGAATACTAGGACTCGGCAAAAAGTGTGAGAAGGAACCCCTTTTCTTCCGCTAGTTAAGTTGGGAAGTTCAACATAAGGCGGTCAATTACATTAAACCTCAATTCCATTTAATCTTGTTTGAGGAACACCTATGGTTGATGGTGAACAGTAGATATGCTACATCAAGCATTTACATTTATATTATATAATCTACATATAATTCTCTACTATATTGTAAGTAATCGGTTTATTTAGTTTACATATCAAACCATATATTCTATATACCGTGATTTCTCAAAACAAGATTTATTCACTATATTCGATATTATCAAATCCAAACTGTTTTCTCTATTTCAGTTTGGTTTGGTTTTATCGGAGTGAACACCCTTTAACTTGGTCGAGAGGTGTTACTTCTAATAATTATTAATTCATTATCAACAAGAATCACAATCACTTGTCTCATCTTTTTCCACACATTCTTATTGAGTTTTTTTTTGTGAGCAAACAAAATATATTAAAAGAGAAATAGAAGAATGCAAATTTGAGACATAATCAACAACATCTTGTTCTTCTGTTCTAACCACAAGAACATTGCAAGTCTGGTTTAGTCATTTAGTTAATGTCCGTCCACTTGAGGAACTTTACCACCAGCTTGAATGATTTGTTTCTCAAGCTGCAACAAACACAATGCCATGATCATTAGTTGTTCGTCCGAAATGATTCATTAAAGCAGAAACTGGATCTATTCACAATCATCACTCACGTTAAACATATCTTGAAGCTTTGTCTTTAACGTATTGTACTCAATATCCACCTGCTGGAGACATCTCACACACCTGTAAGTAACATGAGAGATTATCATTATTATTATTATTTCATCAATCTCAACTACAGCAGAACCTCTATAAATTAATACTCGATAAATTAATATGCACTAAATATCTCAATAAAGTAATATAATTTTATAGTCCCAAATTGAGTTTTTGATTCGATTAGTATATTGATAAATTAATATCTCTCTAAATTAATTAAAAAAAAAATGGTGTAGTCCCAACGTTATTAATTTATAGAGGTTTCACTGTAATAAGTTCCAGAAAAGAAACTCGAGTTAAAAGCCTAACCCTTCGTAGTTATTAGCCTCACAATATTCCTTGAAGGTAACACACAAATCTTTCACCCTCTTGGCACCAACACTGAATATTAGAAACAAGACAAAAGCTTCATCTATCCATCACGCGCAAGATTTTTACTAAAAGAGTTGGACAAAAGCTAAGAAACAAAACATACCTTGAGCTAGTACACTTCAATTGGTGCACACTCACATCAACCAGACCAAAATCCACAGTTCCTGTCTGGTCCCTGAAATAGATACCGTTCTCAAGAGAAGCATGCAGAGTCGTATGATGAAAAGTGGGATACTTGTAAAAAAAAAAAAAAAAAAAGGTAAAAACTTACAAGCTCGAGTGATGTTACCGATATGCTTGACACTGTCATCAAAGGAAAGAGAGAGCATCTCGGCCGCAAAATTAGGATGTTTATCATCCTGAAGCTGTCTTAACTCAGTAAAACGTTCATCCAGAAAGCCCTTCACAACCAAAAACAAAAACAATCAATGATCTATAACATATTAACTACAAACCCATTATTAAAGTTTAAATTTTTTTCTCATAAAGAGCCTTGAAAATTATATCAAACTCTGCTGGAATGAAATGGGGTTTGTGGGAAAGTGATGAAACAAACCTGTTGGTAGAGAGAAACGGTGTAGTTACGATATTGCATTTGTAGCTGAGCAACGAGAGCGTCCATGGTTAGAGAGAGAGAGTGAAGCCAAGAAGCGGAGATCGAGAGATAGAGAGAATGGAATGGAGTGCGTCGTTGGTTTTTCTTTTGGGACGTTTTTACTTGAATTCCCAAAGACAAACCTCTTTTGTCTTTTCACCAATATAACGCTCCTTGTCTTTTCAACCGTTTATGCGAAAATTCTTTTGTACTCCCTCCATTTCATACGTTAGAGAAATTTTTTATTTCAAAATAGATGATATTTTCAATTTTCTATGTGAAATTTATTAATAGTTAATATTACATGACCAATAATATTTTATCTTCTATTTTGTTATTGATTAAATTATGGTTAGATAAATGATTAATGATGTTTTTATTCAAAATGTAAGAAATTAAATATTTTCTTAATCTATCTGCAAAATGTTAAAATGACATCTATTAAAAACAGAAGGAATATATGTTTGTGTGGCTTAATATAAGCACAATTAAATATCCAAGCAAATATGAATTCTCATTTTTAAGATTAAAATAGTTTTTAGTTTATCTTTAAATAAATTTAAGGCCTAAAATTATTAGAATTTATCAAATATTTTAATTATTATAAATAATGATATGCATTCATGAGCTTCCAAATATTTATCAGTTATACTTATACTTATGTATTTAATTTCCTATTGATCATTATTTCATTTTCTAATATTTTTAACAAATCAACATATATAAAATTATCAAAACTACAAAAGAAACAAATAAAAAAATATATCTAATATTTTTATCATTTAAGCGACAAACAAAGCTAATTCGATTTGACTTTCGTCTGAATTTGAAAGAATATATGTAACTCAATATACTCACAAAATGAGTAACTAAACCAGTCCAACTTATATTTGGAATTAAATACCTAATTACAGTAAAAACATATAATTTATAATATTTATTTATTTATTTTTCTACATATAATTTATAAGATGATTCAAAGTCAAAACATGTTAATATAAAAAAATAAACTATTATGAAATTATTGCAATTCCGTTCTTTTGTAAAATTTGTATATATGCATGAGACTTCAGAATATCCTAATCGCATTCAATTATATATTTGAATTAAAAAATTCAATTTATATTTTCATTTCATTCTAAGCCCTATATATATTATGTTACATATAATCTTAATAAAATAAATTTACATATCTAAGATAAAAATAAACCTAAATGCAAATAAAAATAATAATCTAAATTTTAATATATTTGGAACAGAAAATATTAAAGTTGAACTCGAAAAAATAGATGCAATACAATATATCAAGTGGTGACCAAATGGCTATTCCAAAAACAACCAATAAGATATAACATATTCAAAATTGTATGTCTAATTAAATACTATAATATTATTGATATAATTATATATTTAAGTTAAATTGATTTAAAGTTAAAAGTAAATATCAATTAATTATAATAATATATTTATTTCGTTCATATATGTGCATGATCTATACAAATTGAAATTTGGAAGAGTGTTTTAAATTTATTTATAGTATGTCAGATTATTATTATTATTATTATTTTTTGCATTACAAGCATATGAGACTTTGACCCACAAAACTATTAGATAAACATGATATTATATAAAAGATAAGCAATACTTAACTAATTTTAAAAAGTTTCAAACCATTCATGGAACTTTCACATCTGGCAATATCTTTTTTTTTTGTCATCTTATCTAGCAATATCTAGAGTTCATACCCAGCATAAGGATGTAAATATCTTATACTTTAACTATGCAGATCCGATGACAAACATCCTAATGTGATAAGTAATATGCATGGGACAGTAAGATTGTCGAATCAAATCCCAAGTCTAATAAGGCAATAAATATATATCGCGGATTCTCATATTTTCCTTAAATTTTCAAGACCAACGTTTCATATTGGTTTATAAATAATCATTCGTCTTTCTCAGTAGAATTGTAAATTAAGTCGGAGAAAACAAACAAAAAAGTATGAATCCAGCATTGATATTTGTGGTGTTACTCGCGATTCCTGTGGCGGTGGCTGACGCTGTGTGGGACGACGCCCACGTTACGTTTTACGGCGACATTAACGGCGGAGAAACCATGCGTTAGTATTTTATATAATTTCCAATGTGTTTATCTTTTTGTGCTTTTTTTTTTTGTGGTAAAATGTTAAAATTATCTATCTTTCTGTGTTCAAAATAAATAGGTATTGAATTAGTAATACTGGTACAATGTTTATGCGATGTCGCATGTGACATATCCAATCATATTCTTCGTCTCCTAAAAACACGTTTAGTTCTATTCATCCCTTGATTATATAAGATCTATGATAAACAACAAAATATCATTCAGTTATTTCTCTTATTTTAGTTAAACTACATTTGTCTCGTTTAATTTGATTTTAAAACATGAATGTGTGTATATAACTTTTATGCGATAGAGAAATGTTAAGAAGCATAAACTTTGTGTATATATATATAGTGATATATGAACATTTCCATGGAAAATTAGACGGTTATCTATGTATTAATACAAAAATCTGTAATCATATTTTCTTTCATAATCGAATTTTGTAAATCATTTGGGGTTTTAATGGAAAATTAGAGTCTAATGTATTTTACTTTTAATATTTGGTGTGACAGAAGGAGCATGTGGTTACGGAGATCTATTCAAAGAAGGTTACGGGTTAGAAACGGCCGCACTAAGCACGGCGCTCTTCAACAATGGCCAGACATGCGGTGCTTGTTTCGAGATCCAATGTGTAAACTCAAAATGGTGCAAACCAAATAGCGGTTCAATCAAAGTCACAGCAACTAACTTCTGCCCACCCAATTACTCCCCACCGCTTAATATACGTTGGTGCAACCCTCCAAACAAGCATTTCGATCTATCGATGAAAATGTTCACTTCCATCGCGGAGTACACAGCAGGGATAGTTCCGGTGAAGTACAGGCGAGTGAGGTGTCAGAAGAGAGGTGGCGTGAGGTTTCAGATCAAGGGAAATCCTCATTTCATTATGGTTTTGGTGTATAACGTTGGAGGTGCAGGAGATGTAACTAGTGTGGCTATTAGAGGGCATGATAGTAATTGGATCCCTATGCAAAGGAACTGGGGACAAAACTGGGATACTGGTGTGGGTTTGTTGGGACAAAAACTCTCGTTTAAGGTCAGAACCAGTGATGGTGTGGGCATGATGTTCAATGATGTGGCGTCTGAGAATTGGGGGTTTGGTCAAACTTTTGAAGCAGGATTAAATATTCATTAGACTCTTTTTTATTTTTTTGAAAAAGGGTTTAATTTTCATTAGATTTCACATGATTTTAGTTTTTAGTTGGAAGCTACTATTCTACATTAAATAAAAACTGTAACTTATGTATGATATTTGGTAATGTATGTTCCAAACTTTTATAAAAACAATAATTTAACTACTTGAGCTTAACAAAAGAAAATGAGATGAATCGAAATGTCAAATTTTGATGTCATTGTTTACTATTTCCAATACAGTAACGTCCTGTGAATATAAAATTTGCATTTTTGTATATTATTGTTACATAAAAATTGGTCAAAAATCTTATCCATATATGAATAAATTCATAGCCTAAATTTCGAAATAGTATTATTACTGTTGGCTATACAATTTTTCTTTTTAAAACAAAAGATTCTTGACCGACCACTTTAAACTTAGCAATAAAGTTTCAAATTGAAGATTATATTTTTGACAGTGATGTATTGGTTAAAATATGATCAACTTGTATGGTGTGATTCCATGAACCGTCGTGGAGTTGACCATAGACTTCTGCAAACAGCGACATGGTCAAGTCAAGAACTCACCAACCACCATTATTTATTTAGTAGACCCCAACAACAAAACAAGAACAAGAACACTTCTCAAACTTTGACTTTACTAACAACACTTCTAAAACTAAAAAAACAACAAAACTTTTATTTAAAGTAAACATATTCATAAAATGATGAATATAAAGATTACAAAGGTCAAAATAAATTCAATACAAACATACATGTCTATACTAGTATCACACACACCAAAAATATCAAACAATTGATCACCTTCTGTAAGAATTGCTCAAAGATTTAGGAGAACCAGCAAAGAGATCCAACAAGAGCTTCTCAAGATCATCAGTGCTATACTTAATATACCTCTCACTCACACTGTTCTTGTGTCTACTGTAAAACGTCCAGTAAGCTTGAATCACCCACATTGATGCCTTAGTCCTCACGTCTTCTCTCAGCCTCTCGTCAGAGATCAACCACCCGGTTTGCGCCTTGTACACTTCCTCAAACGCAGAGTTAAACCCTTGAAACCGCTCCTTAGGACGCAAGTTTCTTGAACCCGAACCAGAGCCTGAGCCTGAGCCTGAACCAGAACCGTCTTCTTTGAGGAAGGACAAGACAGGGAGCCAAGTGGAGCGTTCATACTCTGTGGCTTCCTGCTGAAACTTCCATGTGTGTTTTCTGTTCCATCTATCGCCAAAGATATGTCTCAGCTCCGAGTTCATCACTTTCCTGGTCATGTAGTGTATGTTGTTGAGGAGAAAGATGTGTCTCAGAGAGACATCTCTGTATAGCTTCGACTTCACTTGTAGGTTGGCTTCAAGAACCGAGGTTATAGAGTAGAAATGTCTCTTCATCGCCAGAAACTTCTCCGGTGAAGAGGAGTTCTCGTAGTTAGGCTCTTCTTCCAAGGGGTTGATAACATCCGGTGGTGAAGGCGGTATTGTGAGATCCTCTACATCCTCATGCTCCATGAGAAGCGAGTCAAGAGTTTGGCTGAAGTCAGTTAACGCCATGAGGTAGTTCATCACGTAGTTTGTAAGCGGGTGAACCGCTCCTCCAGGGAAAGGATGAGAGGAGACATCAGAAGCTATAGCACTTTTGAACTCAAGAAACGTCGCTCTTGAACAGTCTCCAAGCCTCCTCATCACTTCTCTGTACTCAGATCTAACCGATAAACCGAGATGATCCGAGAAAAGTGCATCAATCTCTGGTAAAAGCTCAGATACTAACTCATACATTTCAAGAATCCTAAGCAACTTCTCTGGCTGTCTTGGACCAAGAGACACAGCTTCACCAAAGTTAAGCAACCGCATCACAGCAGCCTTCACTGTATCGACAAAACATGTTAAACCGAACTCATTTACTTCCCCAAAGATCTGACCGTTCAGAGACTTCTCACTAACGAGATATATCTGGACAATGTTTCTCATAACCCTAACCCATTTCCTGATGTTTGTATTCAATGTAGCCCAATCCATCTTCAAAACATCTTCAATACTCAACTTCTCAACCTCATGATCATAAAGAAACTCATCTAAAGCCTCTTTCCTAACCATAGTACATACCTGGATACACTCACGTTCATACCCTGCCCCAACCATAGTCTCTGCAATGCTCTTGAGATCTGATATAACCTCAGGTCTAACCAAATCAACCACAACTTCCCCTGACTCTCTCCTACTACTCCTTCCAAGAATCAAATCCTCAGTAGAAGCAGCGCCAAAAGAAGTCAAAGAACCTTCTCCCACGCCACGTTCAGACCTAAACGAACCGTGTTCGACCTCAAAAGGCAACCTGTTCTCAACAAGAAGATGCTTAAACTCATCCTCAAGCCTTGCCATCACCGTCTGAAGAACATCATGGGCTTTCCTCAGAGAAACCTCCTCTTCTGTCCCCTCTAAACGATCAATCAAACCTCTCAACTCATTCACAGCACCCAAAAACTCTTCCCCTGCATCAGAACCCAAGTCCCAGATCATGGTTTCATCTACCTCACGAGTCATGATCTTCTCACAAACGAGATTAACCCTCTGCTCAATCTCATCTCTTCCTTCAGAGGTTATCACCACACGAGATAGCTCTGTTAAGAGACTCTCCAGGACCTTCTTAGCGTTTCTTGTGAGGCTCTTGCCGGATCTAAGCTCCTTCACAAGATACTCTGCAGCAATAATTAGCTTCTCTTCTCCGTCTCCTTCAAACTCTCCCATCTTTACAAAACCCTAATTCTCAGAAACCCAGGAAATGGAGACTTAAGCTTGACATGAAAGTTTGAGGCTTTTGATCGTTTTCACTTGGAAAGACTCGTAAAGGACAAAACTTTAGGAGAAGAAGAAGAAAACGTACGGAGGTTTTAGGTGATAACGGAAAACCCTCTTTGGAGATTTTCTTGGTGAATAATTTTTTTTCCCGGAAAATATCTTTTTTTTTTCTTTCTTTGTGGAGTTATTTAGTTTTGGTCCTGTGAATAAGGAAGACGACCTTACACAACACAGGAAGAAGATTCAACGGAAGAAATGTCGACCGCTCATTTTTTATTTCTATTACCTTATTATTGTATTTATCCACTATCAGTTAATTAAAAGGGTTTTGGATTATTAATTTTTTAATTTATGTTGCTAAAACACACTCTCGGTTCTTTTAAAAGTGCACCAAGAAGTATGCTTGTTGTTAATTATTATATGTTTTAATTAGAGTTATTAATCTAAATTAATGTGGAGACAATTTTAAGATTTTTTTTTTTTTGAGCATCAGACAATCTTAAGATAAAGGTGTTTCTATGCGGGAAGAAACAAAGTAGGTTAAAAAGTAATTATTTTTTATTATATTTGACATTAGTGGTAGAGCGTAATTATGCTAAATGTTCAAATGTACTGAAAATATGTATGCAAGTTGTGGACCGGAATATATATATATATATATATATATATATATATATATGTAATTGTTTTATGGTTAATATTACACTTGTACTATTAAAAAATGAACTCAATAAAATATATTACACTGTACTATTTATTCGAATCCTTTTATTATGCAATTTATGTGTATGAATGTGTCTAGTATGTGATAAGGTTAGCTTGGTATATGTTGAATAATTTGAGGAGCAAAAAATGTCTATTGAGACTTCAGTTCAGTTTCTTAAAAAAAATGCATGCACCAACATATTTTGCATATAATTACGAAGACAATTGGTATCTTAGTAATCTATAGTGGCCCATCGTAGCCCCGACCCAATCTAAACTTGACTGGATATTCTCAACTAATGTAGAATTTAGAAGATTGTGAACACCCCAATCTCAATATATGAATACAAACCAATAAACCATTAAGGATGCTCTTAGTACCAGTGTTCGATACGGGCACATCTCTGGTCCAATTGACCGTTCGTTCAACCCCATATTCTTGGGTTGGATATATCCTTTGAACCGGTCGGTACATTAGCATATCCCAACAGAGATTTGGACCCAACCATTAGAATTTAGAACTTCTAACAACTAAACAAGAACAAGTTTTGATGACTTCTTTTACGTAAAAATAAACTTAAAACCGCGAGTTCGATAATTTTTTTTTGTTTATACACCTCGAGATATGATGAGAACTCCGAATGGATAGACAACAATATTTACTAAAGAGAAAATGAACCATAATGGTCACAAGAAGGGAGAGGGATTTACAACGATGTGCTTCAAGGGATTCGCCACGTCACTGCCACCGGCATGCTTAATGAACTCCGCAGGCGAGAGGAAGCTCCCATGGCATACACACACGATCCTCACCTCCTGACCTTTCCTGTACCGATACAGAAACCCATCGATCTTTTTCCCGTTCGGTCCATCTCCTGTCGTTGACACGCATGGCATGTCTTCTATGATGTTTCTGGCCGCTGGAGCAGCACTTGGTGGGCTTGTTTCTATTGACTTGTTTGTTGTTGCTTCAAATACAAGTAAAATATTTCAATAATACACTCCAAATCAAAAGACCAGACACAAAAAAACAAATAGGTCGCAAATCTTAGAAGATAGAATAACACTTGATCATACCTAACAACATAACATTGTGCATATTGAGAAGATCATGGGACGAGACACAAACTAGGATGTGTTTTTGACAATAATGTGGTTAATGCCTAAGTTGCATTTAGGTGCTAACCAATTAATCTACACCCTAAAAGAATAAGAATCTACTCATCAAAGAGAATGATGAAGCTTCAAGATTTGGTAACCCTAATCAAATACCTATACCATAGTCAACTCTAAAGACCATATAATTTGAAAAGTGTGGTACCTTGAACAGGGGGAGGAGGAGGAGGGGAGGTGTCGAGTTCAGACAAACCAGAGGAACCACTTCCAGAAGATCCAATAGATCCTTCTTCTACAATCTTCTCTTCTCCTCCTCCTTCTCCAGCTTTATGTTTCTCCCTAAGCATTCTCACGTTCCTCTGTTTCTCAGACCTCTTCCTCTTGGCCTCGAGCCTCCTCAAGCTCTGCAACTCTTTCCTCTTCCTCCACTCCTCCGTCTCAACAGGCAACGAGCAAGTCCTGCTCAGCTCCGATCTATCATCGTTGACCACCAAATCAGGAATAGAAGATGACCGCGTGAGCAGCCTGGTCTTCGCTAGTGGGTCAACACCGAACCTACCGTTGAGAGAAAGACCTAAGTCTAGCTCAATCTCTACCTCTCCATCTTCAACCGACAGGTTTTTATTTTTCTTGGACATGAAACTCTGCAACAGATCTTGACGGGGAATATTCCGGTAGATCTCTTCGTCTTCCCTTTTCTCAGCTTCCGACATGTTGGAGATTAAAAAGAAAATTTTCGATTTTTTTTTTTGTTAAATTCAAATCCCAATAAAAGAGCACATATCAATTTTTTGAAGATTCTATTTCTTCAAATATCAAACTAAAAAAAATATTTACGACCTCTCTTTTTATTTTAAAAAGATCCCACAAGTTTCAACATTATTACCGAGATTTTCTCCGACAAATCTCGAACGAACACTTGTGAGTTACGGAAAATAAATAAATCCAAACGAGAAAAAAATAAGAGCCCGAGAGAATTTAGATAGAGAGAGAGAGAGAGAGATAAGATGATACGAAGAGACAATTAAAAAGAAAAGGTGAGAAAATCAGTCAGAAAAAAAGCTGTCTGAATATTTCGTAATACCGAAAGTACCCTTAGTTAGGTGCATTGACGCCACGTGGAGTCATGGAAGACTCTGCCCTACAACTTTTAGAGCTCCCACGTGGTTTTCATCAAAATCAAACATCGAGAAACAAAAAAAACAAGACTGGTTACAGAAATATTACACGTGTCGTATGTTTGGTGGAAGTTACGTTGCAAGATGGGATGTTGCAGCGTCAGGTCGTCACGTGTCCGGTTTTAATTCTAATCACATTCGTTTCTGCTTCGCCACGTGTTCCACTTGGCCATTACTTTCTCTCTTGAAGATAAGTTGACACGTGAAATGGGTTGTCCGTATCTGTCGCTTTCTAATTCATTTTGCTTTTTTTTTTTTTTGTCCGCTTTCTAATTCATTTTGCTTTAATAGAAGACTTGACGCTGTTTAGCTTAGGTAAATATTATTTTGCTCTATATAAAAATTCATTCATAAGTAACAGACGGACCAAAATAATTTATTAGTATGAAAAGGAAATTTCTTTCCTGTATTGATATTTTAACTACTAATTACTTTGACCCAAATAAAATTACTAATTTCTTTCCATATATGCAAATCACCTTCCATATTTATGAGAAGAAAGTCATTTTAACCCAAGAAGATCAATTCATAAAAACGACTTATGTAGTTGCACCCAAATCTACCAAATGAAAGAAAAAAATGTAGTAATCAGATTACATTCTTTCGAATTGTTATCTTTTGCGGATAAGATTGAAGTTATCAAATATCTTCATACACTCAAAGACCATATAAACCAACTTTCTTTTTCTAGATATAACCAACTTATGTAGATAATTTTTTTTAAAAATAACAAACTTATGTTGATAATAATAGTCAAAATGCAATTAGAAAACAAAATTCTAGAAAGATAGGAGGACAAGCATGTGAAAGATACGTATGGAATTTGTCAACAACAATAGAAAAGATACACTTATGAATTTACCGAGTAAGAGAATCTCCAGAGAACACGCAAGAGATCAGATGGTAGACCCCACTCCATTTATCTCTTTTAACCCAACTTGCAAAATCTATATCTCTATGTCATTCATCTAGGCATCAGACACGTTTACACTCACCAAAAATCACACATGTGTCTTTTTCTCATTGCATCACAACAGCTAAGCAAACCAATCTAGAGAAAAGAAATTTGAAAACGTTTTTTTCAATGAAAAAGGTACTCAATCTAATCATTAATAAATACTATTTTAATTGCATATTATATGATATCAACGGTAAAATGGAGATTTAGGTAGTCTAGTTAACGATTAGTTAATCCAAGAAACGAGAGTATGAGGAATTGACTTCATTAGTTTCTGGTCCACCGGGCTTGGAGAACTTTTTGTGTTGTTGAATTCTGTAATGGGCTTCAGTTTGATAGTATCTAAACTTCCACTCCCTCGTAAATTTGAACTTTGAAGTATGGCTAAATGTACTCAATTGAGTACGTCACAGATCAGTGATGATTCTCAAGGAAACGTGGCGAAATTTTCTTTATGTTTCTGTTTTTCAATAATGGTTGTGAAAAAAGAAACATAAACGCAAAGATGCTGTGAGTTTATGTCACCAAACACTTTGATTCAATAGAGAAACCACATACTACCAAAGAGCAATTGAATAAAGAGAAAACAAATGAGACCAGACAATGTAGTTCTCGTAAAAGGTCGATGGCAACGGAGAGTTAATTCGTGACCGTAACACACGCACCGGCTCGGGTCACACTTCGAACCCATAACAAAGGGATTTACGATATGGGACTCCCAAGTAGGATGTCAATTGGGTATGACCGTATGATGATCATGCGTTGGTTAGTCCAAATTAAAATAATTTTGATATGGTCATGCATGCCAAAAATTTAAGTAATCCAAATAGATTTTATGGGCCAAAATCATTTGGATATGGATGTCCAATAAATTTACAAATCTATAGTTTTTAAATTGGAAAAAAAAAACTAGAAACTAAAATAATATTATGTTTTCTGGTAAAACTAGAAAATCAAGTTTCCACAAATTTACAAATCATATTTTACCATGTGAGGTGACCAGTGAGAGGGAGGTAGTAGCCAAGGATGATGGAGAGAGATTGCTCAAGTTTTGGAAGGATCACTGAGTAGAAAGACTCGCGAGAATGTATGGATTGTCACGAGATGAATCGGCTAAGGGGCTGATGTTAGAGATCTTTGTAAGGTTTAGTGCCATTTGTGTTCTCAGTTTGATTTTTTATTTAGATTAGTATATGTATCAAAATGTACAGATCAATCTTATTTATAATGAAACTTCAGTATGTTTCAGTTTGAACTTTTAACAACAAGAAAGATAAAGATGGATATGTTTGAGGTTCTATGATGTGCATAATGCATACGTGTGTGTGGTATAATAAATTACAGCTCATTAAGATAATCTGTCATAATTACTTTAGATATTATTTTGACATTTGTCATAGTATATTTAGGGAGATTCTTTTTTTTGAAAGAATATTTAGGGAGATTCTTCTTCCAAATTTAGATTTATCATTCCAAATTTTATGTTTTGACTTATAATTATTTTCCTTAAGATTCACTGAATATCAACAAGAAGAACTTGCTATTAAATTGTATAATATAAGTGGTAGTCCAAACAAGATTGTAATATGTAATTCTCAAATAAACAAGATTATGTGTCAAAATAACGTTAGATTTATATAGATTGATTATGTGTCACGATAAATTGTCAAGACAAGGTGTCAAAAGAGAGAAAAACTGGCATAGGTTTTTTTTAAATAATATCAAATAGAATTATGCAGAGATTGATACTTTCAAATTGGAGATTTTATCTATAAAACAAAACCAATAGTTGATTTGTTTATTTGATCAACAAAATAATAGATGACTTTAGAAAAAAATTCGTTAGAACGTAAACGTCGTTGGATCATGAGAAATAAGTATTATACTTTAAAGGACTTTGAGTGAGTTTGTTGAGTTAAGAATTACAATCTCGGTTTTGCTGTTTAGATTATAAAAAGCCGGGGAAAAAACGTCTAGAAAATTACACTCTTCACCACTTTTAATGCTAATTCAAAAGTATTTTTCGTTTTGGTTCAAGATCAAACTTTCCACTAACCAACGAAAAAATACAAACAATTTAACTTTGAAAGAGTATAACTACAATTATAGTAAAGCGATCTAGTATTACTTATGAACATGTCTATGCATCTTAGGCTACACTGAAAACGAGTTCGACCTACTACTCATACCAAATTACCTCTTAAACCAAACTAATCTACCACTAAAACGAAGTTACAAATCGATCTCTAAACCTTCCAAACTACCCTAAAACAAGAATTTCCATTTGTAGCCCAAAGTGGTTAGTGTAGAATGATCTGATTGCTACACATGACCTCCCACTACAACACCAAGAAGTGCATATTCTAAGTGGATACTCGTTGGCTTACCTTTTGTTAACCAATATGGTTTTTCCAGTTAAAATGTAAGTTCGGATATAAAATCTAAATTTTAAGCAAGATATGAGATGGTATGATGAAAATTATTATGGTCGAAATAGATTTTCCCATTGAGATGAAGTGCCCTGAACCGATAATCAAACGCCAAAAACAAGACAATTTGGCATAAGAGAAATAAATAAATTGATCTGACATGTCTTCTTTTGCATCAAACCTCACATGTCTTAAAAGACTAATCTCCACGCCAAAAGTAAAAGTGTTTTAATCTTGCAAACCATTTTGAAACAGAGAAATAAATAAATCCATTTCAGATTTCTCCAAACACAGACCAATCTCCACACCACCTTCCCCTTCCCTCCTCTCAGACATAGAAAACGCCTCGTTCCGGTCAATAGACACAATCTCACTATTAACCGGTTTTCCCCACCCAAAATCCGACGTGTATAGCCCAAACCGGTTCGACCCAGCAACGGACCCAGACTGGGTACCAGGCTTCACCTTCTTCGTCCCATCTACGTAAAACTCGCAAAGTGCTTCAATATTTTGTGACGCAATACCTTTAACCGAATCACCTATAATCTCGACGCTGTTGACAAATCCATCTTCTCCCAAAAACAACCCCGCTTTGTATCCATAGCAACCCATCGGGAACACGCAGTTCCCGAAGTAAGTTTCAGGAACCGGCTTATCCAGCCGGTTCCTGAAATCAGCTGCGTACATAAAACGTACTGGTCTATCCACCTCGCCACCACGCGTCTTCACCAAGCAAGTCCACAAATAAGCGTTGGCGACAACAAACGTTGACAAGTGAAGTTCAAGATGAGAGCGAGTCGACTCTTTCTCGGCTCGCTCTCTCAGTTTGTCGATGTTCTCCGGAGTCAACTCTAGTGTGATCCGCACTAAATCAGGGTTGATCTTCTCCATAGGAGGCAGCTTCAGTGATCTCAAGTCGTCTTTCTCCTCGGAGAAATACAACAAGATGTCCAAGATTTTGGCATCGAGACTAGCGGGAACGTTGATGACTGAACGGTCTAGAAACGCAGTTAAGTTCTCCGGTAATGACATTGTTTCATGGTTACATATATGAGCCCATGATTTAATAAACTTAACCACAGTTTTACCGTCCATAACAGAATGATGAGCTGCTACACCGATGCAAAACCCTTGGTTCGGGAACAATGTAACTTGCAGAGCAAGAACAGAGGGCGAGTCACAACCCACCGGAAACTCGGGCACCAAAGAACGTATCTCCGTCTCGGGACGTAGACCTTTCCCGGAGATAATGGAGAAGTTAGCCTCGCTCTCCGCAACTATCAACTTGACAGAGTCGTTTGGGAGGACGAGGATGTGTGGTTTTGGATCTTGTGGGTCCCATTTCAGGCGACCTGCGAGGGGGAGGTAGTGACGGAGGACGGTGGAGAGAGAGAGCTCAAGCTTGGGGAGGATTACAGAGTGGAAAGAGTCACGTGATGATGAGTCTTTATCGAGTTTATAGAAGATGACTCTCTCGGTGGGATGGAACTTTAACCAACGTAAGTCGAAGAAGGTGAGTGGGAGAACCAGAGAGTTGATTGTGTCGTGAGATGAGTTTGTTGCTGGGTTGACTTGAGAGATCTTGGTTACTTTTAGCGTCGTCATTGATGAAGATTAAAGAAAGAAATCTCTCTGTTTATGCGAGATTAATGTGTTTATGCGATGGACCTTTCATACTACATAGGTCTCTCATTATAATATAACGCGAGATTAATGTGTCCTGCAAAAGTACAAAAAGTTTATTCTTTTTACATTTCAGATAACTATAATATTTCATCGTCTATTACAATACATTATATTTTCTTGAGATTCAAACCAGCTGTCCAATTAGCATGTGGATATGTTTGGTAAGAGGTGATTTTATAAGTTTTGTGGTTAATTTATAAGTTTGTTGAGACGCGTTAGTATCAGTCTAACCTAACCTTCCACAGTTAGGAGTTTTAATTGTGGTTAATTTATTGCATATCTACTCTACTAAATCAAATTATCGGAGTCATTCTAAAAAATATTGTATAAGAGTCTATTGTTGGACAATTTCATTATAATTTAACAATTTAAACTAAATACATATCTTTTTTTTTTGTAAATGCATATTTTCTATTTTCCTTCTCTAATTCATATTTATTCTCTAGTATATAATATATATTAATAAATCCTATTTTACAAATTTCACAATTTAATTTAAAATACAAACGGATATCTCAACTAATTACAATTTTATTGAATATTCCCTTTAGACTCTCAGATTTAAAATCATTTGAAAGATCAATATAATAACTAACAAACAATATACTAATTATATTTGTAATAAATTCAAAAGTGTTTTTAGCTGCACAAAACTAAATATACTAATTATATTGTTTTACAAAAACCAAAGACCTAATTTTTAATACAAAATAAAATAATTTTTAATATTTGTATCAAAAAAATTGCCGCTCATGAACTTCTTTATCTTACCAATTTTTTTTTGGTATACAAATTTTCCTGTAAAAAACTCTGACCCACGTGGCTCCTATATAATCAACATAAAACTCATTAATTTTATTGAAATCTACTGACATTAGATACAACATAATTTTTTTTTTTTTATAAATCTATCGGTTGATCTGGTCGGATCTGGGAGGAACGCACTTAGTGCTACAGAGTGGACTGACTAACACACCGCATGATCCAAGTTTGGAATACCTCCGACTAATGTCAGGGGGTGAACCGATCATCTATTACGATCCACCATGTAAACCACTTGGGCTGATATGAATACACACCAAATCCTAAAAGATTGCCACTAGGTTACCACCACTTAATTTACAACATAAAATAAAACAAGACCCACGCGGGTTTAAAGACTAGCTTTAAACTATTAAACGTAAAACAAAGGCACATGTTCCGTAATTGAACATTTTATTAGTGAGAATGAAATTCAAAGTTTAGACTCTTCGACCGAATCGCCTCTGCCTCTGCTGATACCAAGTCAAGGCCTCAAAATACTCAGCCTTGCTGAAGTCAGGCCACTGAACAGTAGGAAAATAGAGCTCAGTGTAAGCTGATTGCCATAGGAAAAAGTTACTGATCCTTTGTTCTCCACTCGTTCTGATCAATAGGTCAGGGTTTGGGAACTCACTACACTTCGTCATTAGCTCATTTTCAATTAACTTTTCATTGATGTCCTCCACTTGGATCAATCCTTTTTTTGTCTTTTCAGCAAGACTTTTGCATGCTTGTAAGATATCAAACCTTCCACTATAGTCTACCGCCATAATGATTTGCTTCCCTTCGTAGTTCTTTGTAGCTTCTTCTATCTCTTGTATCCCTTCTAGAAGCGACGTGGGGATATTTAGCCGGTTTCCAATAACAGAAATCTTTATTTTGTTTCTACAAAAAAAAATGGAAAAATTAACAACGATTCAGAAAAGGATAAAAAAAACATGTTGAGGGTACCTTTGAAAGAAAGGTATCTCCGTCTTGGAAAAAAATTTAAACATGTCCATCAGGTAGTTAACTTCATCCTGATAAAATAAAGATAAATAGCTAAATCAAAACGATAGAAATATAAGAAAACCATCTTGAAATGATCTTATTTGTAATCACCTCGGGTCTTCTCCAATTTTCCGTGGAGAAAACAAAGAGTGAAACAGTGTTTATCCCCACACTGAAAAAGTCCATAATCATTTCCAAGACTCTTCTGCCTCCAGCTTCATGACCTTCTGGTATCGTGAGCCCTTCTTTCTTGGCCCAACGTCTGTTTCCATCCAATATGATTGCCACATGTTTTGGCATTGTCCCTTGGTTCTCTTTCTCTCCAAGTGTACCACTACAAATCAGTAAGAGATAAGCTTGAAACTTTCATATGTAACAGGATCTCTAGTAGAAAGTTAGGAAGCACTTGAGTAAAGCCTTTGTTTCTTAGCATACAGTTAACAAAACAAATAATCTATATACATGACCGTATAGTCTACTACTAGACTACTAGTATGTGCATTGTGATGCCGTTGTGGGGTCATGATTTACATTCATATCGGCATTATGTGGGTAAGTTGTAGAAGGAAAATATACTGTTAGGAATATCAACTGGTCTTCAGTTGGTATAGTACTTCATGGACCATTTTGAACTAATGGTAAAGAAATTTCACGTTAATTTAGACATCACAAATCGTAGATTATTCTTCTAATATAGTTGTCAGTAAATGAGACTCAGATGTTCATATATATTGAGTACACAGTTATAAGAGTAATTAAAATGTGTCCATACTGATAATAGAGTTAGCAGGCAATATGAACACGCAAATATGTTGAAAAATGTAAATACATCGTATAAATAAAATGATATCATATATAGGCTAATAGTGTTGTTAAATTGGTGGCATCTATGCACAGATCAAAGTACTGTATTTTTTTTGAAGAACAGATCATACTACTGGTTAGGTCGTAGGTTCTGAGAATCTTTTTTTTTTTTTGACATCAGGTTTTGGGATTAGTTAATTTATATTCGACTGAGAGAAACAATCCACAAACCAAAAAGATTAAGAAGTGTCATGTAAAAACTAAAACTAAAAGAGAAGCACACTACCTTATCTCGTTCCTCTCATCTTTTTCATGGTGCTGATCAGAAGCTGCGCTTTTGATAAGTCTGTTGAAATTTTTGGAGGAAAGGGGAACACTTGGACTTTTAAAGGAAAGGGGAACACTTAATTTCCTGGACCGAAGAGACAAGGGATGAGAATAAGAGCAAGAACAGTTAAGACTATAGAGTGTAGACACCATTTTCTTTGGTTTTCAATATTTATTGGATTGATTCATTTTACTCATATATAGAGATAGGGTCCTACCCGCTCTCACGCTGTCTGTCTTTCCTTGATGCTACGCAAAGACAGATCATAAGTATCGGTTACTAAGATTTTACGTCACTAGAAAGCCGCTAGATGGTTTTGTCACGTGATTTTCTAATTTTTATGAGTTCAGATTTTGATTTCGTAAATTAATCTAATACTAATGAACTCACGAAGTCTCGTAAATTATTAAAGTTTTGGTATCCCAAAAGACACACACTGTAGGTGCGAAATGCTTAACAACCAAATTTTTGTGGAAGTTTCGATTAAACTGTTAAACAAAGTTTTAGCCTTTTTCTCACAAAAAAATTTACTCAACCAATAGGACTCATACATCAAAAGGGATGGTATGCCTAACAAAATTGCATAGTGCCTCTAATAAAAATAAATCAATAGAATTATTGTTATTTTTTTGAAAAAACAATAGAATTGTTGTTTCGAACTAGTGTATGCTCATGGAATCGTTTACGCATATATCAATTATATCATGTTTATTAAAAAAAAATTAGTATGCATGCAGGCATGCAGCACTAAGAGCATGTTTATTGCTAAAACCTTTAAGGAACTCTTTAGTGGGCCTTAGTCAATTTTTAACTATTAAAATGAAGATAAAAAACTTTGCTAAGAGCATCATTAGTGGGGGTTTCTACATTTGGGGTTCTAAAAATATATATGTGTGTATGTATATGTTATATATGTGTATGTAATTGTGGGTTTCTAGTTTTATGGGAAACTCAACCGAAAGTTTCTTATTCTAGAAACTTTCGGTTGAGTTTCCCATAAAGCTAGAAACCCACAATTACATACACATATATAACAAATACATACACACATATATATTTTTAGGACCCCAAGTGTAGAAACCCCCACTAATGATGCTCTAAGAGACACTTAACTAAAGGAGTTTATTGGTGGTTTCTTAGAAAGAGAGATAAACAAGAAAGAGGATGGAGACTTCAATATGTTGAGAAATAGAAGAATGGTTACTGATTTATAAAGTTGTGACACAAGACTACAATGATAAAGGCACACATATACGTGATCTCATGACTCCACAAGACAATGACAAACACAGACACATACATGATCTCAACAACAACAACATGATCTCGTGATTCCACAAGACTACAACAACAACTATACTCTTCTTCTGAAAATCACAGACCTTTCGCCATTTATCAAATCACAGAGCTTTCATGTAATGGCTCCACAAGCATTCGCAATCCTAAGAACTTCTCTAGAACGAGCTTCGTCCTGTATTTAAAGGCAAAGGCAGCCTCTCTCTTGTCTTCTTCTCTGCCTAAAACAAATCACAGAGCAATTTAAATATTTCAGAACAGCAACAACAAGAACATTTGACCATAACAGGAACAAGATTAAGATACGGAACAAGCAAGATAAACATCAAACAGAATACACTGCCACAACTAACTAATTAGACAACAGAGTGTGTATGCATCAAAGGCCAACCTATTTTATTCTTCCAACAATATCCAAAAGACAAATGAGTTTCCACCACCGAAAAAACATATAATAAGTCCTGAAGCTGTACATTGCTCAAAATCTACTAACAAATAAATGAAGCATAATTTAGCAACACAGAAATAATGCAAGATATTAGATATGTAGATATGTTTTATGTTGTGAGATAACCATGTGTTTGTCCATTAACAGTGGAGCCAACTAGAGCCAGAGAGAGAGTAAGAGATCTCTCACCAAGAACTCTTCTTCTTCGAGCTTGTGTAAAAACCCAAGTACCATTTCACAAACTTCTTCAAACCCGTCTCAAGATCAACCTCAGGTTTATAACCAATCTCTGTTTGTGCCAACGTGATATTAGCGTGAGTGAACTCAACATCCCCATTCCTCGGTAAAGGCATAATCTTTCTCTAAGCTTTCATCTTCAAAAGCTTCTCCAATATAGTCACAAGCTTGGTAACACGAACATGACCTTTATTACCTTTTTATTCGGCGGAGCAGCCGATCGAGATTCTTCAAACATAAATACATATCAATGGACTTTTACCTTTTGATTCGGCGGAGCAGACGATCGAGGTTCACCGTTTTGTCTTCGCCTCAGAAAACCACCATGAGAGAGCTCGCCGGCTTCTTTGGTGGAGGAAACCAACCGACAGACAGACGACGCCGTCTTCCTTTGTACGCAAGACCCACAGACAGAGACGTGACCACCGTTAACCTTCGGAGAAGAGAAATCGAAAGAGAACGAAAGAAAACACAAATGAGATGGAACCAACTCTCCACCTCTCTTCTACCAAATTTCTATGTGACACGTGTCTCTAAGCTACCGTGTCTTGCTTCTCTTAATAAAGGGGCGCACCTTCTGTTTTAATGTGTTGTTTTAATTTTTTTAATGCTAAATAATCTAAGATATGCACTTAACATACAGCGATAAACCTGCTCTAACACGTATACAATGATTTCAGCGCCACTGACATAGTCGGTGGACGTTATTTCTGGACGTTACAATCAAACCTATTATTTTCTGGACGTTAAAGATTGCTCCAGACCTTCTTTATCAGGGAAAAGAGGCTTTCTTAGTTCGCAGGGCCCACCAAATGCCTAACAAAAGTTTAATCAAATGTAAAACTAACCTCTTTAATGTAGATGTATTGGTAAATCTACCTAAATTTTTATTTTTGTTGTCAAAGGTAAAGATGAAGACTGGTAGAGAAGTCTACGGTACAAAAAAAATTCATTTGGTCAATTGCAAAACTGATATGTGCGCTGAAATAGACTATATCGTATATCTGTGTACATGCGTAGACATACAAAATAGTCTACTTTCGTAACATAGAACTAAAAATGGACAAAAATCATGTAAATAATTATATTTTTTCCGGTGTAAAGCTCGCTTCCAACCTTCTCAGCCGTCTAAACTCCAATGAGCTGAAAGAACCGCCATTGACGATTCACTAATGATGAAACTTGAAAATATGAACTTTGTGCTTGTAAAAATGAAGATTATGAGAGTTTTTTTTATGGAAATATAGAAAAAATGTGAGAAAATAAAGATTTGTTGGTTTGAAATGAAAAAAAGTGGTTTAAAACTGATTTCTAGAGCTTTAAGAACAATATTATTGGGGGTTTTCTACACTTGAAGTTCTAAAAATATATATATATATATGTGTATATGTATATATTATATATGTGTATGTAATTATGAGTTTCTGGCTTTAGGGGAAACTCAACCGAAAATTATTATTTAACAAACTTTCGGTTGAGTTCCCCATAAAGCTAGAAACCCACAATTACATGCACATATATAATATAAACATACACACATATATATTTTTAGAATCTTAAGTATAGAAACTTCCAATAATGTTGTTCTAAGAGCTCAAAAATGGTGGGTCATGGTTGTTGAAAAAATTGAAGATAATGACATTCTTGTAAATAATAAGAAATAGTGTGGATGTATTTGGTTTTTGTAAATTAATAAAAAAATAAAATAATAAGGGCAGTTTTATAATAATTCAAAAACATAAGGATAGTATAGAAAATAAGATTAGTTTTAGGTTTAACTAAAACTTATGGGTTGCATGTATAATAATTGGCGAATATATTTCACTTTACTAAGTCTAATTAAGAGCATCCACATCCTTTTGTATCTCAACAAGAATATTTCATAGATAAAGTATTTAAAATTCTAATATGATTTAATTAATAATCAAATTTTGAATCATAAGAAATAGATTTAGAAAATCATTAAGCAACAAAAATTACAAAATACTTTTCTAATAATTACAAAAATTATCCTCATTTACTTCTCTTTCCACTTTCTGCAATATTTTATATTTATTTTATTTCATTATAATGGTTATTTTAAATTTGTGCACATGGATTAAGAAAATAATTAATTTGGTATATTTTTATATAAAAATATAATTGCATATACACTTAATCACATTTCAATCAGTAAAAAATAAATTACAGAATAAAGTCAATAAATTTTGTATTGAAAACTGAAAAATGACATTTATTTTGTAACGAAACTTTTTTCTATAATGACATTTAATAGAAAATAGAGAAAATACTTTTTAGTATTTAGCTACTTTCATAGAAGCTACATAACTTATCTTTTTATTATTATTATTTTTTCTTTTTGCATAATTTTTCTTAAATCATTATTTGCTTATAAAATACTGTTCATTGTTTGTACTTGATTTCAAGTCCAATACAAAAACTACAAAGAAATTAGTTATTAATAATATATCATTAAAACTATTATTTCTTCAACAAAATAAAACTATTATTTATAGATTTTATTGCACATGAAAAAATTCTAAACTAAAAAAGCCACAAATCTTATTCACCATCAATATTATCTTAAATATTAATTAAAATCAGGGTGGAACACTTGTCATTTATGAGTGTTTACAGTTGATTATACTTTCGTCTTACTTAATAAGACATGTGGGTAAGAATGTGTTGAAAATGATGATTTATTGACTTAATGGCCATATATAAATAATCTATATTATAATAGTACACTTTCTAGGCTCCACAACGCGTCACGTCAGCAGTTTTGTGGGTCCCGTAGGTATTTTTTAAAAACTTATAGTGTTGGTAAGATGATTACAAACAATGAAATACACTTTAGCCAAGTGGTATAAGGTGTCTAATTAAGCATGCAAGATCATGGGTTCAAACCACGCAGCCATCATTTATTTTTGATTTTTTGATTTGGGTTATTATCATATAGGCTTTTTGTTTGTAAGGTTTTTATGTTTTTTTTCTTCATGGCTTATTGTTTGTAAACCCTAAAGATTAACGAGTTCAAACCAAAAATATTTAAATATGGATGCAAAAATGAACAATAAAAAAACAAAAAAAAAGCAAGTCTCACGCGGTTGCCTACGCGGATGGCTTAAAGAGCCTTAAAACTATCCTATTATAATATAGTTCAACCCAAAAATAATAAAAAATAAATCCAAAAATGAACCGACCAAAAAAAAAAGTGAATCTCACGCGTCTACCTACGTGGATGGCTTAATGAGGCTTGAATAATATAGATTAAGAACTCAAAAAGTGAAATCATTGCACATATTTCCTAATATATATTTTTAAAAAAAATTGTATGTGAGATAAAATAAAAAAAAATTGTATGTGAGATAAAATAAAAAAAACAACAAAAATTAATTATTTTGGTTATTTATTTAATGAATATGTAATTTCTCTTACATTTTAATAACTACTATAATTTTATTGAAAACATTCCTCACCACCGATTTCAGACTTCGGCAAATAGATTCCCAGAGTCGATGACGCCGTAAATAAAAATGCCACATCATTTATGAACAAAACTCAAACTTACAAAAAAAAATATATAAAAACCTATCTAATGAAACTTAAACAATGAATGTTAACTTAATTAAGGTTATTTTCAAATTGATAAATCGTTTAATACAAATATAAATACTATAAATATAGAATTATATCAAGTTTTGACCTACGATATAAAAACTATTTACAACAAAAAAAAAACACCTACTTTTACACACTAAAAACTATATTATAGCCTAACTATTCCTATAAACCTTACTTCGCATATAAATAACATTTAACTCATTCCTAATATATTTTCAAAAAATTTGTATGTGAAATGAAATAAAATAAACAACAAAATTTAAGTATTTTTCGTTATTTATTAAATGAATATGTAATTTCTCTTACATTTTAATAACTACTATAATTTCATTGAAAACATTTCTCACCACCGACTCCAGACTTCGGCGAATGGATTCCCACAGTCGATGATGCCGTAGATAAAAATGCCACATCATTTATGAACAAAATCCAAACTTAAAAAACCATATATAAAAACCTATCTAATGAAACTTAAACAACGAATATTAACTTAATTAAGGTTATTTTTAAATTGATAAATAGTTTAATACAAATATAAATACTATAAATATAAAATTATATCAAGTTTTGACATACGATATAAAAACTATTTACAGCAAAAAGAAAAAAAAATAGACACCTACTTTTACACACTAAAAATTATATTATAACCTAACTGTTTCTATAAACCTTACTTCGCATATAAATAACATTTAACACATTAGATATACAATATTTTCAGTTTACACTCTTACTACATTCTTTCCATTTCATTATTATTTGGTGTCATTAGAAGAATCCACTAAACCACTAAATCGGAAAAAATATACGCAAACATAATGATTCCGGCCCCGCGCTTGCGCGGAGAGTATGAAACTAGTTAATCTAACAATAGAGTTGAATACAATGTGAACCTTTGAGAAGTCAGTTATTTCATAAACACGTCGACAGATAGGTGATTTGGTCGTAAATGTACAGAGATGTAAAGATTCTAGACTCTTTAGTATTTTACTCAAAGAAACTTCTGCATGTTAGTGATCTGATCAGTCGTCACTAATGACGCAACTTATGGTTGAGATTGTCCGAGACATCCTCCCTCACAGAAAATGTAGTTTTGGTCGTTAAAGTACAAAAGATCTCAGACTCTTTTGCTATATATAATTTACTAGTATTGGTTTTGTATCGAAACATCATTCTACGTACTAGTCGTCACCGATGACTTTACACATAATTGAGGTTGCCCGAGTCACCCCAGCCACCGACTCAGACTCGGTCCTCAACTCACTCAAGATCCCCTTGACGTTCTTCGACCTACCATGGCTACTATTCAGCCCAGTGAAGCGAGTCTTCTTCTACAGAGTCACCGAGTCGACACGTGAGCATTTCAACTCCTTCATCCTCCCTAAACTCAAACTCTCCCTGTCCCTCGTCCTCCGCAACTATCTCCCCCTCGCGGGCCGCGTAACATGGGCCCCAAACGAGCCCAAGCCCAGCATCGTCGTCTCCCCAAACGACGCAGTTTCATTAACAATAGCCGAGACCGAAGCCGATTTTTCTCTTCTCTCCGGTTATGAACAACGTCCCGTTTCCGAGTTACACAACCTGCTCCCTGAGTTACCGGTTACCGATGAGTCAGCAACAGTTCTCTCTCTTCAAATCACTTTGTTTCCGAACCACGGATTCTCCATCGGCGTCGTAACACACCACGCCGTTTTAGACGGAAAAACGTCAAGCACTTTCGTCAAAGCTTGGGCTCACACCTGCAAACAACAACACCTCGAGAAAACAATCTCTTCTCTACCGGAGAATCTAACTCCCTCTTACGATCGGTCGTTGATCAACGGCGTCGTCACCGGAGTCGACGAGAAGATGATCGAAATGCTGAGATCTCTCAAAGGAGACGCAACAAACACCAGCAGAAGCTTAACTCCGTTTCCCGCCAAAACACTCGGAGACGACGTCGTTCTCGCCACGCTCGTCCTCTCCGGCGACGACATCGAGAAACTCAAGGAGCGAGTCGAGAGAGAGTCAACGACCCCGAGTCATCTCCTCCACCTGTCGACGTTCGTCGTCGCCTTCGCGTACGCGTGGACGTGCTTCGTGAAGGCGCGCGGAGGAAGCGAGGAGAGATCGGTGAGTCTCCTCTTCGTCGGAGATTTCAGACACCGGCTGGATCCGCCGCTCTCGGCGGGGTATTTCGGGAACTGCGTGGTTCCGGCGGGTAGTTACGACCACGAGGCGGCGGAGATGTCGAGTTTCGTTACGGCGGTTGAGATTTTAAGCGGTTTGGTGAGGGGGTTGGGTTCGCGGGGGATAGAGACGGTTACGGAGGCGTTCGCGGAAGCGTTTCGTTACGTGGAAGGGAGCACGCAGTTCGGGACTGTGGCCGGGTCGACCCGGTTAAAAGTTTATGAGTCGGATTTCGGGTGGGGAAGACCCGTTAAGGTTGATATTGTTTCGATTGACCAAGGGGAAGCGATTGGGATGGCAGAGGGGCGTGACCAATCAGGTGGCGTGGAGATTGGAATGTGTTTGAAAAAGACTGAAATGGACATTTTCGTTTCCATTTTCAACAATGGTCTAGAAAATTAAAACTTTTTTCTAGAAAGAAATTGAGTTTTTAATTGTATTAGTGTTTATTCCTTATGGAAGAAGCAACTGATACTCGGTAATCAAAATAATAATTTTCTTTTTGTTACAATAGAGGATGATTCATCATCATCACCTAGACTTATGTGTTCTCTCTGGTATCGAACTTATTATTGAAGATGATTGTAGTTCCTTACTTCACTTTTGTTATAATCACACAAATTGTTGATCTCAGCAGAAGTAGTATATTACAGCAAGGACAAGCAGATGTAAAATGGCCTTGCATGTCAAAATCTCATCAAGTTGTTTAAACCTCTCTAGTCCTTCACTAATCAGATTATACCGGATCTTTTGCTTGTTTTGTTCACAGTTTTTTTCCCACATCTTGCCCAATACTTTGTTTTAATTCCCCTATAACATGAACACGGTTTAACAACCAAGCTTACTATCATCAAAGAAATTTGATCAAATGATTACTACAACAGCTCTCTGAGGTGAGGTATCTTCAATGCTTGTCGCATTGTCTGTAAAGTTTCTAAAAGGCATGAACCATAATCGACGAAACAAAAGGAAAACAAAACACCTGGGGTGGTGGTGGATTTGTGGCTCTCGTTCCTTATTGTGCAAGACCATAGCCTCCATGACTATATTCTAAAGCACTCAGTACCGGTCCTGATATTGGAAAGACAAGAAGCAATTTTCAAAAAATTGACCATTTTTATAAGAACGTTTATATACTATAATCATAATTTTCTTATAAAAATGCTGAATTTTTCAATAATTTTTTAAAGGCCGGAAGCGGTTGCTTGTAATGCTTCCCTTCAGGGCCGGTACTGAAAGCACTAGTTCCATTATCAATCATTTTGACTTTCTTAGGCTTAGAATGAGGCAGTTCTCATGTCTAGTGGAGTATCCACGACAAAATATTTCATTCAACACAATCGTTAGTTTTGTTGCACTGCGTGGGAGATATAAGATGAACAGGAACACAGTTCTTTTCCACGGAGAAAAATGAAAACCACTAGTAAAACACATATCTCTATAATATTATTTGAGAAGTCAGTTTCCTATGTGTCGCTCTCACGTTCATTCTCGATGGTTGATTACATTGATACCCTTAATGAATTAAAAATAGTTGAAAATAATATTATTAATTCTTTTATTTTTAGTTTTTCCGTTTCAAAAATTTCCAAAACGATATGTAATAAAAAAAACATTTTTTTATAAAGTCATAAAAACAAATTTAATACGAAAATATATGTATATATAATATGATTTCATAAAAAGGAAAGTTGACAAAATAGTAATAATACATTTAAAAATATTTTTAAATAACATAAATATGTATATATAATATAATTTCATAAAAAAGGAAAGTTCACAAAATAGTAATAATACATTTAAAAATATTTTTAAATAATATAAAATATGCTTTTAGAGTAATAAAATAATTTATAATTAGTATTATTGAATTTTTATTTATTTTTCATATATTTAGTTGACTATAATATCTTTCAATTACAGAAAATTATCTAGAACTTATATTTTACTTATATAATATTATTTTCAAATACAATCACAATTTTGTATAGTGCTTATTATAAAGAGATATTAAAAACTAAAAAATAAATTTAACAATAAACATCGTTTGGTCAAAATAATTGTTCTAATGAACTAGATATATGATATTTTATCATTATTAAAATTATTTATTTTATTAATATTAATTGTTTTAAATTTTATGTTTTATGTTTGTGAAACTAAATATAACAATAATCAAAATATCAAAGCAAATCTGAATTCTCAATTTAAGATTATTTAAAATAAATTTCATTTTACATTCAATAAATCTAAATCATAAAGTTATTTAGAATTTATAAATGCATGTAACCTTTTATTGATCATATGATAACTCATAACATATTAACAAATAAAAATAAATACTAACCAACTCTTACAATTTTAGTTCTTTTGTAAAATGTATATATATCCATGAGACTTTAGAATATATTCGTTATATAAATTTACGTATTTTGGAATCAGACACTTTAGTTAATTTTTAATTCATTCTAAGCACAATATATCTTAAGTTATACATAATTTTCCTAAAATATATTTACATATCTAAGATAACACCCACCATATGCAAATAAGTAACTAATTAAAAATTAATATATTTTAAAAATATTACAGTTGAATTCAGAGATGCAATCCAATTTATCCAAATAATAACTAAACCAACCGTAAAACAACAAAATTGACTAGATATAACATATATAAAATTACAGTATAAGTAAAGTAATATAATACTATTAATATAAATGATGCATAAAATTATAAATTAATTTAAAATTAAATTTAAATAATAATCAATTATTATTATATATTTAATTTAAAAATATTTATACCCGTGCATGAGCACGGGAAAATCACCTAGTTTAGAGTGTTTTAAGTGCAACTTTTGTATAATATATTATTTATTTTACAGTCAATTAAAAACTAATATATACTATATAAATATTATTTTCTATTTATATAATATTTTAAATCATCTTTTATCCTTTACCATTCAAATATATGTTTTGGAACGTTACATTCATTTGATCTTCATTTGTATTGATAGATTTGTTTGACCCATTTTGTTTCACTCGATCTGCTAGGTATGTAACTCATGATCCACTTTTCTCATTCGAAACCTTAGTTGTGGATTATGCCACAATATGCATATCAAAATATATAAAAAAAAACAACATGGCTTGCTATCTTAAGGCAATTTGTCTCAGACAATGCTTTTAACAATATTTTGTTTATTTGATAAGTTTGACTGATTATATTTAACTGTTCTTATATATAATTTTTTTATAAGATCTTCTTTGGAAAATTAAATTTGTGTGACAAGTAGAGTATTTGGAGGTATATATCATGGACTATAAACACCATAACTAACACTTTTACGCATTGTTATATCGACTCTAATTTCCTAACAAAATTTGACTAACTTTGTATAAAATACACAAAGCTAGCTAGTCAATTTTTGTTTGGACACTGGAGATAAATATATCTAAGATTCTTAGGGCATGTGCATTAATGAACCCCAACATGGGGTTCATAACTTGATTTTTTTTATTTTTATTTTTTTTATTTTTCATTTGTTTTTTTAAAAAAAAAAAAAAATTAAACGGACCAATAGCGGGCCGCCACGTGGCGTGGGGCCCGCTGAACAGTTGTGATCCGAGTTCATGGGGAAGAGGTGTTGGGGCTCGGGTTCAACACTGTTCAATTTTTTTATTATTTTTTTTTTTTGGGATGCGTGTGATCCTCTCCCTTGATCCTCCCTTGATCCTTTGATGTATATGCCCTTATACAACAATCTTATCTCTTAACTTAATGTACATATGAAACCCTTTCACTAAAATACATTTTTTTTCTAGAACTGTACCTATTAAATTGAAATACATTAAGATAACAAGTGTTTATGGTATAGGTGTTGTCGACAAAAATTTCACGATATAGATAATATAGATTATATGGACAGAAACAAGTTCATGATAAATACTATATGTACCAATAGGATAAAAAAAACAAAAAAAAATAGCCAATTTATTTTAGAGATGCATTTTCATGTATTTGAATTTCAAACAATTTTACACTAAGAGCCACAACAAAGCATAACTTCAACATAGGAGACTGATAATCATTTTGGCAAAAAAAAAATCATCATTGTGTGAGATATATACAACTAGTAATACATTGATCATTGATAGGTCGTTACATAGATTTATATCTTCACCTAAACTAACGAATCAAAAGTAGATAACCAAATGTGATCTGGTTATATATAGTCTTTTTCAACAGATTTTGGGTATATTTCTGATCATTTTTAGTGTCTCAGAACGGAGTATAGTGTGTGCCTCATTGTGACAGCTTAAACTTGGTCATGGTAGTGGATGACCAGAAAATTTAAGAAGTTATTTCTCCAGCGAAGGAGAGACAAAAGTGGCAATGGCCAATAGTTTCTACTAAAATTTTAATACATTGATAGTTATCATATGATTGCATACATATTGCAATGTGAGAAAATTCACATGCAATGTGATGATGATAGCTTAACATCTACATATCTTTTGCCATGTATTTACTAAGGATCTGATTTTCAACTTAACATTACTTTAGTAAGTTATATAGTGGTGGTCCAAACAAAATTTTGATCTTGTGATGATCACAATTTGAGTAAAAGCGTGATTTTATTAGTCCTTTTCTATATCTTATTGAACGCTCAATGTGGAGGAGTGCTTTGTCTTGTAAGTGGACAGCCACGAGAAAGCTACACTCCACTCTGCAGTATAAAAGTTTTATCTTCCCATAGACTGTTAAACAAAAAAAACAACCACTCTATTGTAATTTGCATCTTTTAATTGGTCAACTTAACCAAAAAAGTGCTAAACAATTAAAATAATCCCCACTATAGAAAAATAAAAATGTTAAAGTAAATTCATTTTATGTTTGTAAGAAGATGAAAGCAATAAAAGTTGAAAAAATAAAACAAAAGAGTGAAAATAATTATATAATTATAGGAACTTTCTCCTTTAGCATTGGTCACGGTTACCATTTACAGTAGAGAGACGTTGAGAAGCCATTAGAAAGTTGCCAGCTTCTCCTTTCCACTTTCTCTCCACCACTTTCACCTGAATACACACGTCACCTTCTCTCTCTAAAACTCCATAAATCCCAAACCTTTCTTTCTCTCTCTCTCACAAGTTCTTGAGCCTTTTTCATTCTCTTCATGGGAAACCTCTGTTCTCTGTTTGCTCCACCTAAGCCCGTGAAGAAGAGAAGACCCATCAAGAAACGACAACCATCCTTATCCGGGTCGAGTTCTGGTCCTAACCGGTTCAGGTCGTCTTCCTCTAGGAAAGACAACAAGTTCGAGGATGCCTTGACTCAGGAGCAAGCTCTTGCCGCTGCTGCCATTTTGTCCAGACAGAATAAAACCGGCGGGTCTCTACCGTTTGAACGGTCAGCGTCGCAACGTCATCCTGGTTCTTGCTCGAAGAAGAATCAGTTGCCTCGGAGCTCCAGCTCCAGGTCAAGATCCTCCACGGATCCTCTCTTACAGCCTCACCAGTTCCTTAACCAGGTTCTTGGCTTTAACTCAGCCTTAGACTTCACTTCATTGGCTGAGCTTAATGCTATTTTGAATAGAGAGACATTCTTAGGAACTAGAGTTGAATTGTGTACAGTATCTTACTCTATTATATATATTGGAAGAACCAAGAATGTGATATGTGATAAGCATTGATTAGTTTAATGATGAATCTTGAATTCTCATAACTGTAGACTTTTTTAATATTTTTGCAAGTCAGGGTATAAAGCTAGATGACTTGGAAACAAATCATTTTGTGCTCATCCATGGAGGAGGTTTCGGTGCTTGGTGTTGGTACAAAACCATTGCGCTCCTGGAGGAAGATGGTTTCAAAGTTACAGCCATAGACTTAGCTGGTTGTGGTATCAACTCTCTCAATATAAATGGGATTGCAAGTTTGTCACAATACGTGAAGCCACTTACTGACATTCTTGAAAAGCTTCCCATTGGAGAAAAGGTTTCTGTTTCTGTTTGCCTTATACATATTTTCTCCATTTCCTTTGAAAAAACTAGAAAATGTTAATTATGTAAAAACATTTGCAGGTGATCTTGGTTGGTCATGATTTTGGTGGAGCATGTATGTCATATGCTATGGAACTGTTTCCTACAAAAATTTCAAAAGCTATTTTCCTCGCTGCAGCGATGTTAATTAATGGACAAAGTACACTCGATATGTTCTCGCTACAGGTTCATTTTCTCACTAATCTCTTCTTGTGTCTCAAGCTTGTTTCTTGCCATATATTAATGACAACTATGTCACACTTTTATAGGCAGGTCAAAACGATCTAATGCGAAAAGCTCAGATTTTTATTTACACAAATGGTAATGAAAACCCTCCAACGGCTATTGACTTAGACAAATCTCTTATCAGAGATCTTTTGTTCAATCAAAGCCCTTCAAAGGATATTGCATTGGCTTCTGTGTCAATGAGGTCAATACCATTTGCTCCGGTTCTTGAGAAACTCTCTCTCTCAGATGGTAACTATGGATCAGTGAGGCGTTACTATATAGAGACGCTAGAGGATAACGCTATACCAGTGACTCTCCAAGAAAACATGATCAATAGTAGTCCACCTGATAAAGTTTACCGGTTAAAAGGAGCTGACCATGCTCCTTTCTTCTCCAAGCCACAAGCTTTGCATAAACTTCTGCTTGAGATCGCCAAGATTAGATCTACTTAACCTCTACTCTCTCGCAGGATGTCTTCATCATTATATTCACTAACTGGTGTTTTAAAGTGGCTCATCATAAGATCTCTCTTCATTTGTGTTTTTTTTTTCGTGTTCCTTTTCTTGACTTTTTAAGGTTATCTATGTGTTTTTCATCTTCTTGTTTTGTTTTTACGAGAAATAAAAATGTTTATTAAAAAAAAATGGATTGTGGCTACTCGTTTTTTTGGATGATATTTCCATGCTACTTAACCAGAAACAGGAAACGGGAAATGAATATCCGAGGAAGCTTCCGTGCTACCTAAGTTATGATTACCCATTTAGGTATGAGTCCGTTACGAGAAAACCACATTCCCGGATTCTCTGACCGTACTCATACCGGTCCTAAGCGACGAGTGTACAACAGTCAATAATGCTATGGTGTACCAAAAAGATTAGCCTTAAAATACAATCATTTGCTGCTCAAATGAATAGTATATGTGTCTCTATAGTCTATATACCTAACTGAAATCAATGACCTGTAGCAATTAATAGTCCAGCAAGAGTGATTCTGCCGACAAAAATAAATATAAAAATAAACATGACAAATCATTCATGGATTTTAGTAGTAGAAAAACAAAAGTAAATTAAAGTGTGCATAAAGATATAAGATAGGAGGTATTGTCATGTTCTTCTCATTCACACCATCTGCTACCTTCTTGCTTTCTAGACATGGCTAAATCAGTTTTCTTTTTCTTCTTAGCCGTCTCTCTTCTGCTTCTTCTTCTTGCGGCGGCTTCGACAGCCGCAGCTGCAGGGAACGCCACAAGTGAGTTGATATATGGCGGATGTGCTCGTGGAGACACCGTTGGAGAATGCATAACGGCGGAGGTCGAGGAGGAGGGAGTTGAGGCTGTGGTGGGGCGGATTCTGGAACAACAGAGGAAGAGAATAAGCTACGGAGCTCTGCAGAAGCAGCCAGCTTTGAAATGTAATAAGATCGCTGGCAACTGCATCGGAACTTTTTATCAAAAAAAAAAAAAAAAAAACTGCATCGGAACAGTTAATAAGAGAAACGCACCTTGCACTTACTACGACAGATGCAAACGCGCCACTAGCTAATATGTTGTCTTGTTTTCTCTCTTAATTATGTGTGGTTTGTGATCTTCTACTGTTTTTCTTTAATGAATCTAATGCGACACAAGAACGTAAAAAAAAAAAAAAAACGTTTGTCGGTTGAGTTAAATGTCTATCAAATTTAATTCAAAAAACATTAGTTATTATAGAGACTGAATCCGTGAAACTTATTCAATCTAGTCTGGTTTAATTGTAACATGTAAAACACTGGTTTGACTCTTTATGTACCTGGCAATGCCTTTCGTAATGTTTTATAGTTTAGCCACAAAAGAAAAAAACAAAGCATTTTTGTGAAAGTTATAATTTACAATCGTATTATCAAATAAAATAGTATATTATAGCATAGTTCATAGTTGTTGACAAAAAAAAATGTGTGATACTATAGTAAAAATATGAAATAGTTGGGTCATTGAAACTTGAACAAAAATTGTTGGCTTAAGAACAAAAGCTACATGAGATGGGCTTGGGCTAGTTCTTAATTAAAACCCCACACTAGATTGAGTAGAACAAGTTTCATTACATATTCATTTATCAATATCCATCAGAGGATAATAAGAAAAACATAAACCGACAAAAAATGACGCGGCTTGTTGACTGGGCTGTTCTATAACGATAAGCGGTGACGCAATACTTCGTGACAGACGAATGAAAACTTAGAGAAATGTGGGTTCTAGTCCTCTAGATTCGGATGGACCCCGAGGAATTTGAGAAACATGCCGTCGCTTTTCAGAAGACAACTGTACTTTGCAATAAACTAGTAGCTGTAGATGAAAAGCCATTTACGTGTTCTCCAGTTGAATAAATGTATTTGAATATTTGTTTGGTTGAAAATGAAATAAAATCTTTTTTTTTTTTGTAAGTTATATATCTTATTTCCGCTTTATGTTATTCGAATTATTTGGCTCCTCGAAATTTAGGATTTGTTAAATTAATGTATGAGTTGACAAAATCTTCGTTATATAGTTCTGGAAATTTCGACCACTCGTTTACTCTCCTTTTCATGCCAGGGATGTTATTTAATAATTAGAATTTAAGTATCAGCCAAAGAAAACCATACTTTCACACATGATTATTTTTTTTTCATTATTTTCACATCACTAATCAAAATTACTTATAACCGAGTATTGTTTTTGCAATTAGTATTTCCAAATTCCAATATAGTTCTTCAAAATATTGAAAATCTTATACATTTCTGTGATGCATTGTAAATTTATAATTGTCACTTCTTTTTTCTTTGTCCAGATTACTAATTTTTCCAATTTATATTAATTATCTATAAATATATAGAAAACTTGCTCTAAAGTCTTTGAAGTTAACTAAAGCAGCTTTTAGTCTCTCTCTCCTCTCTCTCGTTCTCGTTCGCACATCTTCGAGAAGTTTCCGCCGGCGGGAGATCAAAAAACGGTTGTCAAAGATCAGAGAAATGAGCATTCGCTTCTCCATAATCTCGGTTTTGTTTCTGTTTCTCTTTTCTTGGTCCTGCTTCACCACAACAGGTTTGCCTCAATGCTCTGTTTTATTCTTATCACGACCTTTGTCTCCTTTGCGTTCTGTGATAATTAGTGTTTGATTCTAGCAAAACCCTTGAAATCAAGTGAAAGTAAAGAAATAGATATAGAAATTTGACATTTAAAACCTCCATCTCCATGTGATGATGATGACTGTGATGTTGGTCAACTTGTTGCATGCATAAGCTTTGATCTATATTCTGTTCACTTAACCAATTGATAAGAAAAAAAAACTTGTTGTTGGTTTCTTTCTAGATTTGGCTCTTTTCTTGGTTATGAGCTCACCTATTTTAATATCATCTTATACACAGAAGCTTATGATGCACTTGATCCAACTGGAAACATCACCATAAAATGGGATATCATTAGCTGGACTGGTGATGGCTATGTGGTAAGAAAACATTTATAACTTCACCCCCACAAAAAATAACAAAATACCACTTGTTAGTTTATAGTTACCATACTAACCAACTCATAAACATTTTCTTTTGGGTCAGGCTACTGTATCAATCTTCAATTTTCAACAATACCGTCACATTCAAGCCCCGGGTTGGCAACTAGGATGGACTTGGTTTAAGAAAGAAGTGATATGGAGTATGGTTGGTGCACAAGCCACAGAGCAAGGAGATTGTTCTAAGTTCAAAGGTAACATTCCTCATTGCTGCAAGAAAACCCCCACCGTCGTTGACTTGCTACCGGGAACTCCCTACAACCAACAGGTGGCAAACTGTTGTCGAGGCGGTGTGATTAGTTCCTGGGCGCAAGACCCAGCAACAGCTGTCTCTTCGTTTCAGATTAGTGTTGGCCAATCTGGAACCACTAATACTACTGTTAGAGCTCCTAGGAACGTTACTTTGAAGGGACCAGGGCCTGGTTACACTTGTGGGCCTGCTAAAATTGTTCCCCCGACCAAATTCATTTCTGATGATAAACGAAGAAAGACTCAGGCTATGTGTAAGTTTTAGTATTTTTTTAAGGTTTTAATGTTTCTTTTCTAAGTTATGTTTTTTACTTTCTTGATTCTAATTTCACATTTTCTTGTTGTTAATTAGTGACATGGAACATGACGTGCACATATTCACAGTTTCTAGCTCAGAAAACTCCCACTTGTTGTGTCTCACTCTCGTCTTTCTACAATAAGACTATTGTACCATGCCCAACATGTTCATGTGGATGTCAAAATGGTACATGTGTCGAGTAAGTTCAATATTCTCTTAGGAACTCCATCTTGTTTTTTTTTTTAATTTTATTTAATTTTCTGAATCATTTTTTTTTTTTGTAACAGCCCGAAAATAGCTTCGGTAGTACCAGCTCTTACAGGGAAGAACAAGCTTGACCCGCTCTTGCAATGTACTCAGCATATGTGTCCCATCAGAGTTCATTGGCATGTGAAAACTAACTACAAAGAGTATTGGCGTGTGAAGGTTACAATCACAAACTTTAACTACAATATGAATTACTCGCAGTGGAATTTGGTTGTTCAGCATCCCAACTTCGACAATATCACTCAGCTTTTCAGCTTTAACTACAAACCTCTTAGCCCTTACGCTGGCATAAGTAAGTCCATTGTTACTTATTTCTCTTTCTTATTCGCACTATTTTGTCTTTTTGTAGGTAATGAAATTAATGTGTTATGAATTATATATTGCAGATGACACGGCCATGCTATGGGGGATAAAGTTCTACAACGATTTTTTGAGCCAAGCCGGTCCAATAGGCAATGTACAGTCAGAACTTCTCTTCCAAAAGGATCCGTCAACGTTCACATTCGAGAAAGGTTGGGCGTTTCCAAGACGCATTTACTTCAACGGCGATAACTGCGTAATGCCACCTCCAGACGCATATCCATGGCTTCCTAACGCTGCTTCAAACCTTGCAACTTCTTCACTCCTCATACTTATTACTTTCCTCTCTGTTTTGATTCTTATGTAAAGTGATCACGTTGAAAAAACGTGCTTTTGACCCGGTTCTGAGATCAGATGGTATCCTCATTGGCTTAATATATAAAGAAAACTACATGCGGTGCTCTATTCATGTAAAAAGTTCATTTGTATCCCAATTGTTGTATTGTTATTACTTTTTGTATTTTCACACGTAATGGAAAAACAACTTGCTCCAAAATTTTGACAACGTTATCAATGGTTAATATCTCAAACTTGAGAAGCTCGGAAATTTTGATTTATATTCTAAGGTCATAATAATAATGAATATGACTTTCCCATTCTACCAATATTCCACCCAAATTGCCATTTCATACTGGTTCCTGTTACAATCATCATACGTTCGAAACAGTCTAATTGAATAGTTAGAAATTAGAAAATATTAGAAGTATATATAAATACTTAATTGTTAAATTTATTTTCGTTTTATATTACTATTTTGTACACAGTACATTAAAACGTCGCTCTATAAAAACGTAATAACTATAATTTGAAAATAAATAATGATAATCTTTATAATTATTCACTAAGTTAAGCAAAGAAAAGTGTCTACTATTCTGTATATATTTATCTAAAATTATGTTTTAAACCATTTTATCCTTTTTTTTTCTTGTAAAAAAAAAAACCATTTTATCCTTTTTTGACCGAACCAATTCATCTTTTACGATTCAGATATTTATTTTACACTGTTTATTATATATTTTCATCAGTAAAAATATATATTAGATTATATGGTATAGTTTATTTATATTTCATTCACATGGTCTATTTGATCTAAATATACTATTAATAGTTAAGTGTTGTTTGAGATTTATTCTTCGTTTATGTAGATTTTGACAATATATCAAGTTTTATTGCTTGACCTCGTCAATTTTTTCCAAAAAAATGAAAAGTCAAGAAAGATGGAAAGAAAAATAAAAAAAGCTGAATCACCCACAGATTTGGGATAATTTGGTAAAGAATATAAATTTCTGAGAGCACTAACTATATAATGAAATAATTATCTTAGAAAATTCAGATAAGATATGTTTCTTATTAACCAAGTTACTTGATAAACGTAGCTTCAAGATTTTCTATTTATTTGGGGCAAGTAGCTTTTAGACCTTTACAGTGTCTAATTAGTAATAAGGCTTCATCAAATCATTCGTAATCTCACTAGCTATATATTGTATTTATAGACAAAATAGATATGTTATTTACCATATTATTTATGTTGTTATATATATATATATATGTTATTTGTTTTATAGATTTATTACTGTATTAAGCAGCTCAATTAAGAAACATAGTTTTATTTACAAAATAAAATCTTAAATGATAAATACTTCAGTCTAATTATAATTTTATTTCAAAGTTGAACCATTATCAATAAGTCACAGCCCACAGGAATATAGTCCCGTGGGTTTTAAATTTCAGATTTAAGAGAATGGACTTCTGTATTATTATGTCATCCCGCTATATATACGTATTGATCCTCCCATTTCTCACACACCAACATAATACAAAAGAAAAATACAAAAAGTTGATAGTAGGGTACAAGTCATTCGTTTTCGATTACTATCCTCAAATAGGGATAAGAAGGGATCAACTGAAATGGGGCGTTGGGTGAGACCTGAGGTAACGATAAAATATTATATACATGATTTTAAGTGTTTGTCTTTCATATTCGTGTCAAGAACATATAATCAAATAACTATATTTGTTTTGAGGATATTTTTTTTTTGTTGTTGATAAATTGATTTTTTTTTGTTAGGTGTACCCTCTTCTTGGAGCAATGGGATTTGTGACATCTATGGTTGTGTTTCAACTCACAAGGAATGCATTATTAAACCCTGACTGCAGGTTTGTCTGATCATCAAGTCTATTCTAATATATATTTTCAATAGTTTGAAAGGAATAAAGCTTAGGAAATGCACACAATGTATATAGTTTTAGGCCACTAATGAATAATTTCCCTAGTGTAATGATCAAGACCTGAAGTGAATGATTTTGAAAATTCTATATTGATCCCGACCACTGAAGTGACTACACCGGCCCTAGTCATGTAATATGCCTAATTACTGTCTTTTAATTAAAACTTTAGAATTCCACTAATATGTATGTTATACAGTTAAACATAAATAATGTGGGTTTATAAGTTAAATTAAGAGTATCTTGAAAAAAAATTATATATACTAATGCTTTTCTTTGGTTTTATGAACATGCTATAGGATAAGTAAAGAGAATAGAAAAATGGGAATTCTGGAAAATGAAGACGAAGGAGAAAAATATGCACAACACAATCTTCGCAAGTATCTGAGGAACCGTCCGCCTCAAGTTATGCCTTCTCTCAACCGTTTCTTCTCTGAAGAGGACAACTAAACTATTTTCACCTTATCATAAAAGTTATTTATATACTCATTATACAAATTAAATCTAGTTTGGAAACGCTTAATATGTATTGTCATAAATAGTCAGATCATCGCTTGTTTAATATTTATAAATTTATAACAAAAAGTTGAAAGAAGTCTTCACATGGCCATCGTAGTTCTTAGAATTATATTTTGTTCAGTGAGAAATTGAACTTTTAAATTTGTGCATGCTATATACTCGGTTAGACTATGCAACAAGTCTTTAATCTTCTTAATGGAAACAAAAAATCTAAATCGAGGCAACGAGGTGAATGCCACGTTTTAGTGATCAACATCAACGGTTGAGAACGGAAAATGATATTCTAAAGATTACATAACAGTTTAGTGGAACGCGGTTGAGAACGGGAAATGATATTCTAAAGATTACATAACAGTTTAGTGGAACGCGCCGGTGTGGTGGTTGAACTAAACTAGACTTGCAAAAGTTTGAATTAGTTTGTTTTGTTGAACTTAAACTTGTAATCGACATTAGGATTCTCGAGTTTCGGGTTGATTAATAAAAGTGATACTTCTTTAAAAAAAAAAAATCTAAATCGAGTTGATATTGTATATAAAAATACTGTTGCTTATATTTTTTCTGAATCAAAATACTGTTGTTTTTAAGCCAAAAAAAACAAAGACTGTTATTTATATTTGTAGAGATGAATACGCAAATAGAATTGGAAGTAGATAGTTGAATAATCTCAAGCCAGTTCTCTCAGTTTTTTTTGGTCAACTTTATAAATATATTAGAAGAATGTTGCATGGAGTTCGGAATCATCCATACATAAATAGTCTAGTCTATACATTTGTCTATACCCGACCCTCAGGGCCTAAGGGAAAAATACTTCAGAGGTGTGAGCCACACACTAACATGAAAGCATGATGCACTTACAAAAAACACACATATTAATGTTTCTTCTACCGCAAGTTAAATAAGAAACCCTAAATTTTTCACCTCTGTGCCTGAACGGTTAGAGATTAAGCTCTTAAAACAGGCTCCCAATGACCATGCTTGGAACTGAAAGTTCCTCCACCATGTCTCTCAGCGTACTCAGCCACTGTCGCTCTCGCACAAGCATCCCAACCTTGAGCTATTGCTGTTAAAGACATCGGTTCTGACAACTCCATGGACAAACCGAACCTCGATCTGGTTCTCGCGGATAAATCCTCATATCTTTTTACACTGAAACACATAAATAAGAATATGTTTAGCATCAACTTGTAATCAAATTTCTACTTAAAGTTTCATAAACCTGGAGTCAGAGGGGATGTTTTCAAGAAGTATTGGTGAATGTGGATAGTTCGTAGGAACTAGTAAGCGTAACGGCTGAATCTGTGACTGCATCAAACATAAAATACAATCATAATCATCTGAACAAAACTAGTAAGAGAAGAAGTTTAGAGAGACTTACAACATGTTCTGACTTGTAAAGAGCTTTAAATGTGTCACATAGAGCCACAGGGGTATAAGAACATGTGACTATTGTTCCTGTAGTAACTTCACTTGGAGAAACATCTTCATTGCATATGCTAACCACTGTCTCTACAAGTCTCCCATTTACTTCTTTTATTTCTTGCAAGAGTGCACAACCAGGCTGCAAGATCAAGAAATGGTCTTATTTTCAATATTGCATTTTTCTTTTAAAAGGAAGTTACAGGCTCTCTAGATATTATTATTACCTCAATCTTGTTAACTTTTGAGCCAGAGGATGCAGTGGAGTCAACTTCAGATTCAAGGCTACTGAACTGTTTGTAGCTGTCAGTTTCTGATGTGATATCTCTAGGCAGAGTGGTGATTGAGCGCTTAAATCTTTTATTAGTAGGATTTGTTTCTACTTGTTGCAAACGCAACCTTGTCCACTCACTCAAATCCTGAGCTAAACCAGCTCTAGATCCTCCAATGGACTGGGCAGAACCAGCAAGCCTGTCTGTCAAACTGATGACAGTGCTCATCTCACTAACCGATTGTGCCAAGGATTCAGGTGATGATGATTTAAACTAGCAAGCCACAGAGATAGACATTAACATTTAGGATTAGTAAAATTTGATAAAGATGGAGAGGTTAACAACTTGTATATGATGACTTATACACTCACAGCTTTTATCAGACGATCAATAGGCCGCTCTGCATTTGGCTCAGGAGGAGGAGTAAAATGCTCCTGAGATGCTGCTTGGAGTTGGTTATCATGTGAAGCAACAGGTGACTCAACGGATATAGGATTTTCAGGATCACCAGGCTTTGGAGATGGAGCAAAGGAAGTCACAGGAGAAGGTGCAGCAAAAGTAGAGACACCAGACTGTGATGAGGTTCCAGTTTTGTTTGATTTTGTGGGAAGAATCTGCTGGTCCAGCAACTGAGGAGATGAACCTGGTGGTGAAACATTAGACTTCCGTGCCTTAGAATCCAGTGACTTTGCAAGCAGACCAGCTTTGTTGTTGACCCCTTGCCTCATCCTTACATCTTTCATCTCATTTTTAGGCCTTTGAAGCTGCTGATGGTTCGTTTGTGGTTGCCTCTGCAATGGCTTTTGTTGCATAGGGAGATGATGAAACTGCTTCTGCTGAAACATACTAGCCTGGGGATTACTTGGAGGATTCTGTTTAAGACTAGAAGGTAACACGACATGTCCTGAAAAGGAGATAATGTTGCTCTCCTCTTTTGGTTCCATCTTAGGCCTTTTCTGCAAAGGCATTGCTGTATGTGAGGTGGTAAGGCTCGATAGAGAAGATGAGGCCCCGTTTTGGCTACTGTCAAGAACATGGACGACTTGGTGACCACTTTGGGATTGTAATGCTGTTTGATGTGTCTGAGAAGGAGGGAGATGCACTTGCTGTTGCTGCTGCTGCTGCTGCACTGGTCTCCGAGTCAAGGTCTGGTTAGGCTTGACGAACCTCAATAACTGTTCCTCATATTGACTAAAATGATCTCTGTGAGTCTCTGTTATAGCATTCCTAGGGAGATTTAAGAACACAAGAACTAGTTTCAACATTTCTTTGCTCTTCCTTAGCTTTGCAATAGGTCCCTGTTGGATCTTTTGTTGAGGAATAGAATCAATCTGGCAATCAAAATGGTTTTCATTAGGTTATGTAGAATTTAAATCTCGCCTTAAATAAATAGTTAGGTTATGAATGAAGTTAACCTCCCGCAATTTATTAGTTAACTTTTGGAACAAGGTACTAAGTGCCTGTATATACTTCTCCTTGAGGGCTTTTATCTGCAGGAAGATTATGAAATTTTTTTGAACTATTAATATCCAATGGATTGGTTTCATATGATAAGTTATAGTTTCACGATACCTTCTGATAGGTCTCCTCCTGCCAGTCAACAATACTAGCATTAACCGTCTTGCCTGTAGGAACTTGAGATGCTACAAAACAGTATGTAATCATTAGATAAGAAAAAATTTATCATCCAAGTTGGTAACAAAGGAAACATACTAGCTGGATGTTCCGGGGCGGTTCTATGTAACTGATATGGCTGATTCTGTTGGCCTGCTAAGTTTGGGGTTTGGAGCAAAGAGCCTGGTGCTTGAAACCTCCTTTGTGTATTATTCAAAGGTTGCTGTAAGATTATATTCTGAGGCTTCTGCTTCTGCTGCTGCATGGGATGTTGTGGTTGGTGTTGTTGTTGTTGTATCATTGGTTGAGATTGTGCCACCTCTTGGCCTTGAGTAACCAACAAACTTGATCCATGCACATTATATTTCTGCTGTTGTGAGGGCAAGGCTGAAGCATTATTACTGTGAGAATAAAGGCGTTTTTTCTGGTGCATGTTTTGGATGTTGCTATTCTGTTGTGGCCTTTCTTGAAAGCTAGCAATATTGTTTTGCTGTGAGGATGAAGATACTCTAAAAGCTCCTTGTGGCTCTCCATTGTTTTGTAGAGATGTTAGATGGTTCTGCTGTGTTTCTTGACCATTAATCAGGTGGCTAATCAGTTGCTCACGTTTTTGTCGTTTATGTTCCTGAGAAGGCACAGACATCTGCTGCTGATGGTGACTGGAATGGACTCTCTGTGCCGGAAACTGATTATGTCTTGACAACAACTGAGAGTTTTGTTGACTAGAAAGAGCAGAAGGTTGAGGAAAGGACTGCTGAATGGTAGACAATGATGTCTGATGAGGTAACTGCTGCTGAATAGGTTGTTTTAACAGGCTTGTCTGTTGCTGCATGTATGGAGGTTGTACATTCCCATGACAGGCTTTTTCTTTCAAGAGCTGTTGGTCCATATGATTCTGTAAGTAGTTGGAACTCTGTGGCTGCTGTTGGAGATGAGGAAGAAGCTGTTCCCTTCCATGAATCTGTCTTTGAGAACTGGGAAGAAGATTTGCATGAACTCCTTCACCCATTTGAATGTTTAGGTTCTGAGCCGCAGAAGAGAGCTGAGTAGGCAAACCACAAGAGTCAGGAATGTTGAGATTTCTCTGGATGTTGTTTTGAGGTAACCATTGTTGGCTTGTTGGAGTCTGTGTATATGGCATTGAGGTGGGAATTGATTGCCCTTGATTCAAAGCTTGAGCTGCTGTACACAGATTAAAGGCATCATTACACCATGTTGTGTGTTTAGGTAATGAACTCACCAAAAGACAAGTTCCTAGTCCAATGTTAATCATCATACTAAAACCAAAAAAGAATAAGATAATTTAGCCTATTACCTAGAGCTGGAGGATTAGTATTGACTGAAGAACCAGATTGCACATTATTAGGTTGCACAGTACTGAATTTTCTGCCAAAATTCACAAAGTTTCCCATGATTTTGCGCATGTAATCATCCTAAAACATAGGAGAAATATCAGCAAAACTATATTCACAAGGCTGAGGTTTATTCTCCTATTCAAGATTCAGAATCTGAAGGTAATAATAGATCATAAACACTTGTATTTGAGTACCTTATCTGTAGCCATTCCAAACATATTTCCCTCAAATGAGAAAGCAGTACTTTTAAGAGCATCTGGGTGTTGTCTAGGATAATATTTCTTCAAGTTTTCCACTCTACACATACATGAGAACAATTATTTCTGACACATCTAATTTTTATATGTTACACAACTCATAGTCTAGACAGAATAGTAACACGAAAAGGTGCAAAGGGAATGCAAAACTTGAAGGAAAAAAAAAACGAGAAAGGTTGAAGTTAGGTTTTGTCACTTCAAAAATGAAAATTATAAAATAACCTTTTTATGCACAACTCCTATGCTTTAACTGTTGCAATGTTTACTGGTGTAAAGTAGGAATCGTTATGTGCAAGCTTACATACAATATCACAGCAAAGACATGACTCTTTTTTTATTTTCATGAATGTCAACTAGAATCAGTAACAATGGATTATCTAAACCATTGAAATAATTTGTATTTGTATTTACTCTGATAGAAAGGAAGGCTTACATTGCCAAAATAACTTTCTTCCTCTTATCAGAATCAAGCTGTGATCTCCAATCATTAGCATTATTACTCGCAAGCGAGTCTCTGCCTTGTTCGTTAGGCTTCCAGTTAGAAGTCCTCTCCATCAAGTCTAGCCTATCAACAAAACATGATTAGAGACATTCACTAAACTAGATTAAAAAAAACTCATTAATTCATCAACTTTTCAACTTGTTATTAGTATCAAGAAATCATTTAAATAACGTTTAAACAGATTCGTATTGCGGTTAATTCACTAGTTATATTTAACCGTCACAATGTCTTACAGATTGGTGCTAATTTTCATCAAGAAACCATGCCTCATAGAACCAAAATTATTATTCTGTTAAAGTATCAATTTCGAATTGGCATTTTAATCAAACAACTTGCAAGTGTGTGTCCCTTTTGTCAAAAAAAAACTTGCAAGCGTGTTTCTGCAAAGATTAGACTTAAAATGTTTTGATCATATTGACACAAACACATTAAAAACACACACACACATGATATGATCAACTTAAGAACATCAAATAAGAAAACAGAACACCAGAAAGATTAGATCACAATCCACACAAAAAAAAACTCTGTTTTTGGCGTTGGACACTCTCGATCAAAAAATTAAATAAAGTTTAGAACACTCTATAGGAAAAAGACAAAACCCATGTATGGTTCCACAAAAAAGAACTGAGATTATTTTTTTCTACAAAAAAAAAAACAGAACTGGGATTATTATTAAATAAAGCAAAACCATAAAGTTCGAAAAGAAGAAGAAACCCACGAGACGTCGGAGATATCGCAGAAGGAGAAGGATCGATAGATTGAGGAAGATGCAGTGATTTTGAGAGGGGGTTTGATATAGACAAAGGCAAAACCTAAGTTAAACGCAACAAGATGAGAAAGAGCAAAGAGATTGGCTGAAGAAAAGACTACGCGTAGGAAGGAATATATAGTTTCTGATTTTATTATTATTAATCAAATCTGGGAAGTACGACATGTGTCAGATGACTTGGACCCTTTTAGTAATGAATCTATGTGCTTTTATCATGTCTAGATTTTGGTTTTAGATTTCGACAACTAAGCAAGAAACAAGCCAATCACACTTTACCACATCATTATTATTAACTTTTTATAGATTTTAGAAATAAAGCATTTATATATTGAACACAAATTACATGAACAATCAAATTATGTCACATAATATAAGACCACATATTATTGAAAACAACATTCAACCGTTGAATTGGTGTAGTGAAGGTCTAATTAATAACTGTTGAACTTAACTGGATTAATCTATGTTAAATAAATTTCACTTGTTGAATCACCTAAAGAAGAGATAGACAAATATCAGATGGTATTATGTTATTAGCTATTCTTATTTTTATATTTATTTTCACTCTAATTGTTTTTAATAATTTTGTTAAAATATTTTTTTAACTTTTCATACTCTATAAATAGAGATTTGTTTTATTTAATTGGATACAAAACAAAAAAAAACATTTTAAATATCATTTGAAAGTGGCTTTTGATGAATTTTAGTTTGATGTTTATAATAGTTTTTGATCATTATTATTTATATATTTAAACATCTTAAATAAAAATTAAGTAAATAATTATATAGGATATTAAATTTTATTAAACAAAATCATTGTATTAAAATAAAGTGAATGTTGAATTAGCATGTAAAAGAAAGAAAAAATTATGTGGACTGTTAAAAGAAAAAAAAATTAGGTGCTTAGTTTATAACCCATTCAACATAGTCTAATACATATCTTCAAATGATTTTGAAATATTAATCAAACAAGATAATGTTAACAAAAAAACTGCATCCCATTTAGTCTCACTATCCACAATCCATTCTACATAGTCTACATAGTCTAATACATATCTTCAAAAAATTAAAGTATCAATTAAACAAGAAAATGTTAACAAAAAAAAATTCTGCATCCCACATAGTCTCACTACCCACAATCCTCCTCTTTCCTCCACAAGCTTTTCTTTTCCTTATTCCTATCAATTTGGTAGACAAATGGCGGTCAAACTCGCGATCAACAGAAAACAAATTAGAAAAATTCACACACTTTCTTTTCAATTTTAATACCATAACTAGTTTGATATCCATGAATTGCGTGGGGTGAGATGGATGTAAAAATTATATATCTAAAATAAGGATGTTCAATTTGGATTTCAATCTTATTCAAATTTTATGATATTTAAGTTTATAAAGATTAGATACCATATTAAATTTATATCAATTTTAGTTCGGTTCGGTTTATGTACTGTTGGAATTTTTTATTGATTTGATTTTATATCAAAAACTCAAATTTTATTTATATTTATAATATTTATTTTCAATTTAATTTTGTATGATTAAAATTTAAATTTATTAAACAGTACTCTAATTTTTAAATAAGATGTAATTTTTAAATATTACAAAGGGCCGTATGTAAAATTACGAGTTAATGCCGAGTTTCATTACTGTATTCTCCAGTGATACCATACCATCTTTCTCCTTTGTGGCTAAGCAAGTTTGAGAAAAGGTGGATATGAGATATCTGATTTAATGGTGATTCAACCAATGCAAATAAACTTAGAATAAGATCCGGTTAAGAGCATATGTAATAGGCAATCCTTAGAGAGAGTCCTTAGAGAAATATTAATTTTATAATCACTGGATCCTAAGAATAGTTAAGGATTATATCCTTAAAATCTTTATTTAAAGATTGATCCTTGCACTATTCGCGGGTTCCACTGCACACATGGCGGTACGCGAATGGTCACTTTTTAAAAAAAAAAATTCGAAATATCTTTATATAATCCGAAATGCCTTTTTGCTCTCTAAGGATTCTCCCTAAGAATTCGGTAAGGATTGCTAATTCACATGCTCTAAGGAAAATGGAGGAAGATAGAACATTTTTTTTTTTTTGATAAAAAGTAAAAGCGCATCTATATTAATTGTTTTTTTCTCATGCAATAGGTTTTACAACAAAATGTTGATTGAAACACTATTACAGTACTACGGTGGGTATTTTGATACTGAATGGAACCAAAAAAAAAAAGAGCCATAAATTGCAAATCAAGAATTAGGAAAAACATACCAAGAACAAGACATCCCCTATATATTAATTGAGAAACATTTGAAAAGATGTAACCTCAAGTTTGTATTAATTAAAAAGTAACTTTGCTTAGTTGTCAATCAATTAGCATATCAATTAAACTGACGTGGCGGCTTTAGGTTCAATTGAAATTTGCTAGGGAAAAATAATTAGAGACGCATATAACGCATGTAACATAGTTTATATATTTAT